ACGTCACCAGTACCTTACTTTGTGCATTTGGTGACATCATGTTTCCCTGATCATGATGCTTATGGTCATGCAGCAGTGTCTGCACATTGAAGATGAACTTAGCTATTTTAGTCTTCACCATCTTTATAAGGTCTTTTCAAGATCCATAGCATGACTGAAGTCAGGGTGCTATCCTGCAGAGGCACAACTGGACGCCTTTCTCTGTAGGTCCCAGGTGGGCAGAACTGTCCTTATTCCACAGATAAGAGGGGCCAGGATCAAGATCCAGGGCCATTTGAGAATCTGCTGATGGACAAGGGTTAGAAAATCTGCCACAGGGACTTGGATACACATGTCTCCTGGCAGGACTCTGGCTAGGTGAAATTTTTCTCAGGCTATAGCTAGGAGAAACTGAAACCAAGCTTCAGAGTTAATTCAGAATGTGCTGTGGGACAAATGTTGGTAAGCTTAACCTGGTGGCACCCCCAGTAAAGACTCCCAGCAGTTCCTTATGCAGGGAGATTGCTTGCATTCTGTAGCTGGGACATTCAAGGTTCTTTCCAGAACTGCTGGGGATGGAAGCCAGCAGGCCTGTCCTGCACAGGCATGATAATTGGCAGGCTGCAATAGAGAGGACCTGGAGTCAAGACCCCTTTAGGATCTATTATGGAAAAGAGGCATCAAACCTGTCCTGGTGGCTGGGGCAGGTGCTTCACCCAGCAGTTCCCAACACAGTCAAGATAGCTTCCTGACTGCAGCAAAGAGGCACTGAAGCTGAGACAGGGCCCCTTCAGGATCTGTTGTAGGATGGAGGACTGCAAGCCTGTCCCAGTGGCTCAGACAAGTGCATCTCTCGGTAGTTCTCTGTGTGAGTAGGATACTGCCAGGCTGCAGCAGGGAGGGACTGGAGCCAGTACATGTCCCCTTCAGAATCTGCTATGCGACAGAGGCCGGCAAGCCTGTCCTGGTGGCTCAGATGGGCATGTTTCCCTCTAGGTCCTTGTGCAAACAGTACTGAGCTACCACTACAGTTTGGGGAGGGCAGGATCCAAGTTACAGGCTAAGTTGGGTCCACTGCCAAGACAAATGTTGACAGATGAAAGAACCCTTGTATGATTCCTCCTGGACCCCTTGACAGTTTTGGTTGCAGGCTCTAGGCCAAACAGAGCTGTAGCTAAGCCCTTCAAGGAATGGGGCCATTTCTGCATATAAACCTGGGAGCGCAATTGGCAGGTCTCCCACCTGGCTGTTAGTATGCACTCAAAACAACACATCTAGGTCTTGAGTTCTACTGGGGTTTTGCAACCTCCTACCTGAATTCAAAGGCTTCCACGAAAAGACTTTTGTCTGTGATAGGTACAGAATTCTTATTTTGGGGGATATGACCAGGTGACCTCCTATTCTGTCATCTTGGCATCACTCAGAAGTATTCTCTTAAAAAGATTTTTTCTAAGATGGAGATATTGAGGATCTAACCATTTTTCATATGTATACACAATTTAGAAAATTTAAGAAATATTTTCTTCATTTATATTTTTACAATACTTCAATTATATTTGTTTCTCTTGTGCTTATGCAAGAGGAGGAGGAATTAAAAGCATCTATGGAAAGGTTTGGTGTATCTGCCGCTCAATGGATTTGTCTTGAAATTGTTTCCTTTTAGTTTGTATAATATGTCTTATTGAACATACCATAAACGCTGCCTAGAGCATAGCCATTTCCTACTGAGATCAATATAAATTTTAATACCTAGATGACTATTTTATATATGGATGCTACATATTAATGGATTTCTTTTTCATTAGAAAGTATGTTTCTAAATAATTAAAACATTAGACTAGCTGGAGAAGCTAATTTTGTACATTTTGTTTTTCCTTTCTCCATCTGGGAGAGTTATGTGAAAATTAATATAATTAATACTAAATAGTTTTAATGGAATTTTTAGAAACATCCCTTATTTTCTAAGTATGTAATAGTAGGCTACATATTAAGAGAACTTAATCCAGAAACCGTCAGACTTTAGGGACTCAGAAATTGTCCAAAACATTAAAGGAAGTTCTTATTGCAAAGTGTCCTTAACCTAGAGGCCACAGATGTTGTGAAATTATTTTGCCAGAATTTTTCAATTCATTTTTCTGGAACAAGAATCCGTAGTTGTTATCAGACTTGCAAAGTGATTCATGAACGCCTACTTCTGAAAAAAATAAAACCCAGTGTTTTATGCAGTTAAAAGACGAACTAATTTGCAGCTACTTTTCAGACTTCTGTGTGGCTAGCCCAAAAGGCCATGATCATTTTTCCTCAATATCATTGCTCAGTTTCTCACCCTTTTTTCTTTTTAAAGGAAAAAAGAATTATATGCCAAAGCTATTATTTACATTCTACCTACAAATTAAAATTATTTCTTCATTTCATAGGTATTATATCCCAAGAGGTAAAAGTCTTTAAGTTCTCCACAGGGCTTCATTTTAGCTTGTTTTAAAATCTGTGTATTAATGAAGTGTGAAATGTCATGCATGTCATAACCACTGGACTTTAATCAATAAAACTAGGTTTTATGGAAGGCAGTAGCCTAGTGTCATGATTAAGAGCATGGTCTCTAGAGTGAAACTGCCTGGATTTAAGCCCCAGTTTTGCCACTTATAAACTCACTGCAGATTCAATACTATTATGAATTATTGGTAATGCCTTGGGAAAGTCATTGAATCTCAGGGCTTCCTATGTTTCTCTACCCTTGAGGCGGAGACCAGGTGTTTACCAAGGTCCCTTCTGACTTTAAAATTTCATCTAATTTTGGTATGTTTTTTATATGTAAAAATAACATGACATAAAACTAACTTTTGGCATAAGTGGTAATAATTTTTCTAATATTTTCTCACATCATTAATATATTTAGTTAATAAGAAAAATTGGAGCTTATTGAATTGAGTCAACACAGAGATTACAAAAATACCACAATATATGACATGTATCACAATGCAATTTTTCTTCCATTTTAACCATAGTTGAGGGGAGAAATAATCCTACTCTCTTCTTTTTAAACTTTTTTCTTTTTTTTATTAAACACAGTGCTCAGCTTTCTAATCTAAATAGATACATATTTTTAAAAATTTTTTTATAGAGATGGGGTCTTGCCATGTTGCCCAGGCTGGTCTCAAACTCCTGGGCTTAAGTGATCTGCTCGCCTCGGCCTCCCAAAGTGCTAGCACTGCGCTAGGCCCTTTATTTTTAATTGGACACAAATTTTAAGGTTACCTAAAAGATTGTGTAATAAAAAACCTGTTCTAAAACAGTTTTGAAATATCTAGTCTATGTTAATCTAAAAATTGGAGTCTATGTGTATATAGCAAAATATGTTTGAAAACCTACATCTTGGGGCAGGGTTATCTAAAAAGGAGTAAAAGTCAAATTATGGCCGTAGGACATGATTTTCATAAAGTTTTGTCAAAAATCACCAAAGCTGCAGATAACTTTCTAATGGGAATATAGTGACATGAAATGCTTAAATAGTATGTTTTAGAGGGAGAATGAAAAATGTCAAGTATCATCATGCTTGAGGGATAAGAAAAATCTTTACCATCTACCTATTTTAACTTGGTGTATTTAATTTCATAATTTTTACTACCTGGAGATTTAAGTTAAATATTTCATTTCATCTACTGACAATTACCATTTAAATCTGCAATATTTTCACATGTAACAATGGATTCGTTGTTGATCAGATATGTTTAAATTGTTTTTCCTTTTCACACACTTTCACTTTATGCTCAGCATCTTAAACATGTCATTGGGAGATTACACTTTTATTTTTACAAAAGTTAATTATTTTCTATATGTAAGAACCAGTAAAGTAGGAAAATAATCTTTTCTAAATGAATATTCTTGAAATGTTTTCATTATCTATGGCCCTACTACCCTGAATGTACCCGATCTCTTCTAAATATTTTTTAAATTAAGATTGATTTTTGATCCTTCCTTATCAAAAGTTAATTCTGCCTTTTTCTTTTTATGTTTAATGTGCCTACTAGGAAATTTTAAATTACATGTGTCTGATACTATGTTTCTCTTGGATAGCACTGACCTAAAATAGGAGTGTCAACACTTGCACTAGTCTAAATTTTAAAACTAGTCAGGACTCAATTAAACATCCAGGAAATATTTAAATAAGATATTATGTTCAAGCCCCATACATACTATTAGAGGTTTTGCTCTGTAAGTACTCATCTGATTATGAAGATTAAATAGTTCTAAGGGAAAATGTTTATCTTGGTTATGTGTGGTTTACTTGTTTTGAACAAACTTTTTGGTACTCAGATATTTAATCCTACAGATATTTTGGTAGAAAGGAAACCTCCATAAAAATAACCAAAAAACCTCCATGTTTTTACGTGGTTGAATAATATAATGGAATACAATATTTCCTCTGGAATAATTCAAGGTCATAGCTGAAATTCCATTCCTGTGTAACTTTGGTGAAAAGTAATAATATTATAAAGGCACTGCATGAAACTACCCTAATCAAACCTAGATTCCAAATCAGAACTCATTACAAAGTACACTAATATAGAGCCAGATGAAGACTTTTTGGAATAAAAAAAAATCTTATAAAATTAATACATTTCTATACTTAACTGACTGAAAACAAAAATCTATGAAAAGAATATTTTTTAATGTTAGATTACCACTTTACTCTCTCTCCTCTAAGTGATGCATACTAATTTGCTACAGACATTATTGTAGCTTTATTAACAGATGATATAGCTACTTGAAGGCAGGGGGGAGGGGGAGGCATGCTGAGGGTTTTTTTTACTTATTTATTTGCTTTTTGATATGTTTTGGGTGATGTTTCTGTTATTTTTAAATAATGAGGTGCTTTGCTGTGATAGCTTGAACAGTTGATCTCTCAGTCCTTTCTAACTGTTGGGTGATTCTGAAGCAATGAATCAGTGCCTAGTTTTTTTGGGGGGGCTTTGCTTTATTAACTATTGTTTTGTCTGTTACCTGTTCACATGCTCTTACAGATGCAACTAATTCATGAAATTTCGAACTTAAAGAATTTAGTTAAGCATGCAGAAGTATATAATCAAGATCTTGAGGTGAGCATTCATGTTGGTATTTCTATTGATAAGCAATTAGAACTATAAAATATGCAACATAAAACATTATTTCAGAAATAGAGAAATTATGTTTTTAAAATATTGTGACTTTGAATTTTACTATGAATTTGAACTTTTATATGTGTGTGTGTGTGTGTGTGTGTGTGTTCTGTTTTAATCCCTTAAACTTAAAATCAGATTCTAAATTGTTCTCTCTCCTTTGATTCTTTTAGAATGAACTAAGTGCTAAAATAGAGCTGCTTAGAGAACAGGAGGACCAGATTAAAAAGCTACAGGAGTACATAGAATCTCAAAAGCTAGAAAATATAAAAATGGACTTGTCATACTCATTGGTAAAAATCAGGCTTATTTTATTGTATAATCACATTGCTATATATAGCATACCATCATCTTAGCAAATGCTTATACTGGGCCTACTTTGTGCTGGGTATTGTTGTATTAAATTTATATATATTTTATTTAGTCTGTCAATAACCCTATGAGATAGGGACTGATAATATATCTGACATTTTAGAAATAAAGTCACATTTTTAGAAAGTTGATCATATCATCCTTTGAATAAATATAAGGAAGTTAAGGACAGGCTCCCATTAAGAATCAGTAAATTGTAGGCCGGGCACAGTGGCTCATCCCTGTGATGCCAATACTTGGGGAGGCCAAGGTGGGAGGATCACTTGAGTCCAGGAGTTCAAGACCAGCCTAGGCAATATAGTAAGACTAGTCTCTACAAAATATACAAAAATAAGCCAGGCATATGCAGCCAGCTACTAAGATGACTGAGGTGGCAGGATTGCTTGAGCCTGGAAAGTTGAGGCTGCAATGAGCCGAGATCATGCCACTGCACCCCAGCCTGGACACAGAGCAAGACCCTATCTCAGAAAAAAATAAACCAGAAAATTTTTTAAATTCTGAAGTTTTTTCAATATTTTTATACAAATGCATGCAGTGGTATATAGTCAAGATCTTAAATATTTAAACTTGGATATTTTTCATGATTTTGTAGCTCTAGATTATTTTAGTTGATATAAAATCTTAGCTTGATACATCAACTAAATCTTAAGATTTAGTTGGCCGGGCGCAGTGGCTCAAGCCTGTAATCCCAGCACTTTGGGAGGCCGAGGCGGGTGGATCACTAGGACAAGAGATTGAGACCATCCTGGTCAACATGGTGAAACCCCGTCTCTACTAAAAATACAAAAAATTAGCTGGGCCTGGTGGCGCGTGCCTGTAATCCCAGCTACTCAGGAGGCTCAGGCAGGAGAATTGCCTGAACCCAGGAGGCAGAGGTTGCGGTGAGCCGAGATCGCGCCATTGCACTCCAGCCTGGGTAACAAGAGCGAAACTCCGTCTGAAAAAAAAAAAGATTTAGTTGATAAAAGATTGTTGTTATTTATAACATTGGATGCTGATGTCATTTAATCTCTTCAATTTCCTTTCAATATAACTGATTACTTCAAGAAAGTATGTTTGCTTCCAGTTTTTAATACCTTTTTTTTTTTTAAGGTAACAGTTTCTAGCTGGAACTTTTAAAAGACTAGTTTCTGTTCTTCTGTTGTTAATTGAGTTTTTTAGTTTTTGTTACCTTCTATTCTTTTGTTGCTTTCTATTTGTGACAGGCGATTTTTTTTTTTAAGGGTTCATACCATTTTATTCTAAAGCTGTGGATAGGAATGTATTTTTATATATTCTGGAATGTCTGTTCATTGAGTGGCATGCAGAACTTCCCACTTTTTAAAAATTATTATTTTTCCTTATTCATTCATGTATCAATTTATTTTTTTCCAAGGACATGTCATTGATTTCACATAAGCTAAAGTCATATTAAAATGCCACTTCTCTTTAGAAATGAGATTATAAATTTTTTTCATGTATTTTTCATTTGCATTTTTTCATCTGTGAGTTTCTTGTTCATATCTTTTCTCTGTTTTTCTATTAGATCATTTATCTTTTTCTTTTTCAATTTGTGGTTAATATCTTTAACTGCTATCTACTTACCTATCATGTGTTGGAGAGAATAACTCAAAATAAAAATACATAGAGAACTTCAACAGCCTCGTGGAACAACAGTTATGTTAACCTTTAAACAAAACATATCAAAATAATGGTCCTTTGATACATTGCTTATATAATTTGAAAACTATGGCCAGAATTTTTTAAAAATACTTTTAATAGGAAAACATGATTTCTTTTCATTTATTTGGTAATTAGTATATTTGTGCACTCTTTGGTTAGCTAATATTAACATTTATATACATCTTAAGTATTTTCCAACACTGTGAAAATTAGATTTCAGTGAACCTCTTTTGTCATCTATCTAGGAAAGCATTGAAGACCCAAAACAAATAAAACAGACTCTCTTTGATGCTGAAACTGTAGCCCTTGATGCCAAGAAAGAATCAGCCTTTCTTAGAAGTGAAAATTTGGAGCTGAAGGAGAAAATGGTAAGTATTTTTAATAATAGTTATAATAAAGAAGTTGTAATGATCAGTGCAGTTTTGTGCATTTGCAGTGTTTCTCTCAATAGAAAGAATTTGCAAGTACTTACAAGCAAATGGAAAATGATATTCAGTTATATCAAAGCCAGTTGGAGGCAAAAAAGAAAATGCAAGTTGATCTGGAGAAAGAATTACAATCTGCTTTTAACGAGATAACAAAACTCACCTCCCTTATAGATGGCAAAGTTCCAAAAGGTATTCTGTAATTTTAAACATCTTTTATCAAATTTGACTTCTTCTAGAAATGTTACCTAAACAATTTGACAAGCATATTTCAATGATTAAAATTCATTATACTCTGATTTTTTAATAACTCAATGTTAGGCTTTAGTGTCATTTGGTATTAATATTTATAAAGATTTCCATGGGTTTCCAATCATAAAGGATTATTTTTCAAATAAGCTTTACCTGATCCTAAAAAGGTGATTGAAGGGCTATTAAAAAAAAATTAAATTACCTGTTTGCCAACACTGCATCTTTGTATAACTTACCAAAACTTTGTAGATCTGCTGTATAATTTGGAATTAGAAAGAAAGATTACTGATCTTCAAAAAGAACTGAATAAAGAAGTTGAAAAAAATGAAGCTTTGCAGAAAGAAGTCAATTTACTTTCAGAATTGAAATCTTTACCTTCTGAAGTAGAAAGGCTGAAGAAAGAGGTAAACACATTTATAAGCACTTATCCCTTATTTTAAAATAAAAACCTTTGTGATAATAGTGCCTTAAATATTTTGGTATAATTTATTTTAAACTAGCAGGCAAGAAATTCTGTAAACATTTGACTAGTCAGCAACAAAAATGAATATAATTCATCTTCTAATTTGTTCTTCTGCTACTAGATTGAAAAAATATATTTTTCCAAGGTGTACTTAACAGTATTCTTAGTAATATAATCCGTGTAGCAGCCATTTCTGTAGTCCTCAGATGTTGCATTTATACAATATTAAGACCCACCCTTAGACTTTGCCATTTTTTTTTTTTGTAGTAGTCATATCATTATATTGAAAAAAAGACAATAATGAGCTTGACAGAGTTTCAGAGTTAATGCAAACCTTGCAGGCTAGTAAGTGATTTCTGTAAATCTATGGCCTGCTAGTCTTCCTTTCTACTTGTCTAAAAGAAAAATGGCAAAAATTTGAGTACTTACTGTATGGCAGACATCATGCTAAAGAACTTCAAAAACATTTCATTTACTTATCTTATCAACTCTTTAGAAGTAGGTACTGTTTTTTAGCCCCGATAACCTGTTCTCAAACTAATAGTTGAGCCACACAAATCTGCCTCCTAAACCCGTGATTGTCGCTACTATGCTATATTGTCCCTCTTTACTTTGTCTCTCCTTTATCTCTTTTTTTCCTCATCTCTGCTGCCCTTATCTTTCACAGTGATTAAACTGTTAATATACAAGATATGGGTTATTTAAATTATCTAATTATTTAAATATTACTTAAGTAATACTTATTTTTTCCCCCATGGGCCATACCTCAGAGTTAAGATACTTCTTAAGTAATAATTTTAAATGATTAAACATTTCTTAAATTATTAAGTTTTTTTGGAAATCTGGGAGGCATTCAAAGCCTTTAGGGAAAAAAAATGTCAAATTCTGAGAAATGCCTGCCACATGATAAAGTTAGAAAACACTTTAGAGTGAATAGGTAAGAAAATAAAGACATCCTGATCATGTACCTTTACTGACTGTTCTCCATGCAGGCCTTACTAGAATATAAAGAGGTTAGAAAATAAAATATCGAAGATTAAACAAGCTGAGTTAGAGAAAAGTGACAATAAGAGTACTACTGTATTGCCTTTCCTCAGTCAAATTTTTGCTCAATGTAAATAACTTCTCTTTTTGCAGAGAAAGTTTTTTTCCTAAAAAATGCTTCAGTGAATCATATGTTGCTAACATTCCTAAATTTTGTTTCTTTTCCATAGATACATGACACATCTGAAGAGCTCCATATAATAACATCAGAAAAAGAGAAATTGTTTTCTGAAGTAGTTCATAAGGAGAGTAGAGTTCAAGGTTTACTTGAAGAAATTGGGAAAACAAAAGACGACCTAGCAACTACCCAGTTGAATTATAAAAGCACTGATCAAGAATTCCAAAATTTCAAAACCCTTCATAAGGACTTTGAGCAAAAGTATAACATGGTCGTTGAGGAGAATGAGAGAATGAATCAGGAAATAGTTAATCTCTCTAAGGAAGCACAAAAATTTGATTCCAGTTTGGATGCTTTGAAGACCGAGGTTGGTACAAGATGCCATTTGAGAAATGCTCCTTAGTCTTCTGGGGTTTTGGTTTCTGTATATATGTATGCCTCAGACTCCTCTGCTTTTACTGTGTGACATTTACTTTTTCTTTTTTAAAGCTTTCTTACAAGACCCAAGAACTTCAGGAGAAAACATGTGAAGTTCAAGAAAGATTAAATGAGATGGAACAGCTGAAGGAACAATTAGAAAATAGAGATTCTAGGCTGCAAACCGTAGAAAGGGAGAAAACACTGATTACTGAGACACTGCAGCAAACCTTAGAAGAAGTAAAAACTTTAACTCAAGAAAAATATGACCTAAAACAACTCCAAGAGAGCTTGCAAATTGAGAGGGACCAACTCAAAAGTGATATTCATGATACTGTAAACATGGTAAGGTTTTGAATGATTAAACTTTGAAAAATTGGACTCTTAGAAACATTGCAGAAGCCGGCATTTATTATTTATGATTATGTAATAGCTATAAAATAATTGTTTCATATTCTAATGGAAATTTTTTTTTATTTCTCTAACAAAGAACATAGATACTCAAGAACAATTACGAAATGCTCTTAAGTCTTTGAAACAGCATGAAGAAACAATTAACAAGCTAAAGTTGAAAATTTCTGAGGAAGTTTCCAGAAATTTGCCTATGGAGGAAAACACGGGACAAACTAAAGATGAATTTCAGCAAAAGGTAAAGGGTGTTTACTTTCAAAGTTTTCATATACTTATATATATATACTCTTTAACCTCAAATAATTAAACGTAATAATACTCTCAATTTTGTTATTCACAATGAGTACCATTGTAAATTTTATAAGCTTATCCATAATGCCTTTGAAATAATTTATTATAGAATGTAACTATTTATAATCAATTAGAAAGGGAAAGGGCCAAAAAAGTATTAGTCTAAATTTTGCATAGCTGATACTTACTTTGTGTCAGATTTTCTATACTGAACTTGCTTAGAGTTTACAGTTCAGTACATTGCAGGGGAAATTGCCTTATAATGTCAAACCAGGGTTTCATTTATTAATAGTAGTCATTTCTGCTTTCCCAAAACACCTGTAAGATATATTGGTAACAGTAATTCTTTAATAATATATCTCATTTTTATTATAGTTCATATTATTTTCTCCAGAGTATTTCCTGCTAGAATTTTTAAATATTCTTCAATAGGAGACTTGTAAAATAATCTTTTATACATCTATAGCTTAGAATAGCATATAGTAGTATATGTTTTTTAAATTGTTAGTAAAATACACATAACATAAAATTCACCACCTTAACCATTTTAAATGTATACTTCACTAGTGTAAAATTCATTCATTCACGTTGTGATGCCACCAATTTCCAGAATTCTTTTCATCTTGCAAAACCAAAACTGTATCCAGAAAACAACAGCTCCCCAGTTTTCCTTCCCCACAGACCTTGGCTACCACCATTTTACTTTTCTGTCTTTATGAATTTGACTACTATGAGTACCTGATATAACTGGAATCATACAGTATTTGTCTTTTTGTGACTGATCTCTCTCATTTAGCATAATGTCTACATCCATATGGTAGCATGTGTTAGAATTTCCTTTCTTTATAGGGGTAAATTTCCATTATATGAATATGCCACATTTTCCTAATCTATGCATCCATCATGGTTACTTGGGTTGCTTCCACCTTTTGGCTGTTGTGAATAATGCTCCTATGAATGTGGGTGAACAAATACTTCTTCAAAACCCTGCTTTCAGTTATTTTGGATATGTATATATCCAGAAGTAGAATTGCTAGATTATATGGTCATTCTATTTTTAATTTTTTGAGAAAACACCATAAGGTTTACCACAACAGCTACACCATTTTACTTCCCACCAACAGGACCTAGTGTTCTGGTTTATACACATCTTTGCCAACACATTATTTTCTGTTTTGTTTTGTTTTTTGTAGTAGCCATCCTAATGGATGTGAGGCAGTATCTCATCATGGTTTTGAGTTGCATTTTCCTAATGATTAGTGATGTTCAATATCTTCATGTGCTTTCTGGCCATTTGTTTATCTTCCTTTCAGAAATGTCTATTTAAGTCTTTTGCCCATTTTTATTTTGGGTTGTTTGATTTTTGTTGTTGAGTTGTAGGAGTTCTTTTTGCTTCTGAATATTACCCCTTTATCAGTTATATGCAATATTGCAAATATTTTCTCCCATTCCATAGGTTTTACTTGTTGATTATATCCTTTGATACACAGAAGTTTTTAATTTCACTGTAGTTGAGTTTATTTTTACTCCTGTTGCCTGTGTTTTGGTGTCATATCCAAGAAACCATTGTCAAGGCCCGTCTCACGAATCTATTCCCCTATGTTTTCTTCTAAGAGTTGTATAGTTTTAGCTCTTATGTTTAGGCGTGTTATCCATTTGCATTGATTTTTATATATACTGTAAGGTCAGGGTACAACTTCATTCTTTTATGTGTGGTTATTGTTTCCCCAACACCATTTTTGAAAAGACCATCCTGTCCCCATTGAGTAGTCTTGGCATCCTTCTTGAAGATACTATGACTATATGTACAAGTGTTAATTTCTGGTCTTTCTATTCCATTTCAATGGTTTACATATCTGTCTTTATGCTAGTACCACATTGTTTTGATTACTATAGCTTTACAAGTTTTGAAATCAGGAAGTTTAAGACCTCCAACTTTGTTCCTCTTTTTCAAGATTATTTTGTCTATTTGGGGTCCTTCAAGATTCTACATGAATCTTAGGATAGATTTTTCTAATTCTGCAAAAGACACCATCAAATTTTGATAGGGATTACATTAAATCTATAGATTGTTTGGGTAGTATTGATGTCTTAAAAATATTCTCTTCTAATCCATGAACATGGGATGTCTTTCCATTTGTGTCTTCTTTAATTTCTTCTCAACAACATTTGTAGTTTTCAGTGTATAAGTCTTTTACCTCCTTGGCTAAGTATATTCTTAGTATTTTATTCTTTTTTGATGCTATTATACATAAAATTGTCTTCTTTCTTCTTTGGATTGTTCATTGTTAGTGTGCAGAAATGCAACTGATGTTTATACAGTCATGCATTTTTAACAGAATACATTATTAAATAAAAGCAAATACATATTTCAGAGTAATTTAGTGAAATCCAATTGATGTAAATAAATCTCTGTACATTTATGTATTACCTCTATAAAACGAGCTGCATTTTCCCCATTTACTCCAAGGCACAATACTGCCTTGGAAAAAGGACTTCTTTATTTTTTTTTTTTTAATTTCCATCTACTTATACTTTAGTTCTTATCTCTCACTCTGTATCTTATGTTCTCAGCTTATTTATAATTTGGAATAACCATAGGCCAAAGGCATTTGACCTCAGTTTGGAATTATTCCCAGCACAATGGCTCATGCCTGTGATCCTAGCACTTCAGATGCTAAGGTGGGCAGATTGCATGATCCAGGAGTTCAAGACCAGCCTGCTCAACATGGTGAAACCCCCATCTCTACAAAAAATACAAAAATTAGACATGGTGGCATGCACCTATAGTCTCAGCTACTCAGGAGGCTGAGGTAGGAGGATCACTTGAACCTGGGAAGGTTGAGGCTACAGTGAACCCAGATCACACCACAGCAGTCTAGCCTGGGCAACAAGAATGAGACTCTGTCTCAAAAAAAAAAAAAAAAAAGAGAAGAAATGATAACTTCCACTTTTATGTTGGGAAGGTTTTTTGAGTAGATTTTTGACAATAATATGTGGCAATCAGTACCTGTTTTAAATAAATCCAGAATGCAATTATAGAGACAATAGAAGATGAGGAGAAAAGTAGAGTCATACTCACTGGGAACAGCTAGATTCTATGTTACCAAGTTTATGCTGGAATCATTTATCCATGTTGATAAAAGGATATAGCTGGGGCTTCTCTGAGGCCATTCTGTTCATCAGGGGTCCTAAAGTCTGCAAAGGAAGACTAAGATTGATTTGGTCTTGTATCATGCTCATGCTGGAATCTGTCATTGGAAGAAAAGAGTGGAAATGGGGATTTCCAGGTGCTCCTCTGTTCATCTTAGCAGAAGAGGGCTGCACTAGCAGGTCTATCATGAATCTCCTTGGAATGCTCATTTTCAATCCTATTTGATGTGTCCCTTTCTGGAAATGCAGTATCTTTAATGCATCTCAATTGATTAATGACTTTTTTTTTTCCTTTTTCACTTGTTCTAACAAATTTTTTATTTAATAATTAGATCTGTTAGATTTTATTCATAACTGTGGTAGTTGAAGTACCTTCTAGGCTGAGTTCAGATTTGAAAGAAACCTTGGCTATATTTGGGAGGCTGAGGCAGGTGGATCATGAGGTCAAGAGATCGAGACCATCCTGATCAAAATGGTGAAACCCCGTCTCTACTAAAGATACAAAAATAGCTGGGCATGGTGGCGCGTGCCTGTAATCCCAGCTACTCAGAAGGCTGAGGCAGGAGAATTGCCTGAACCCAGGAGGCGGAGGTTGCAGTGTGCCGAGATCACGCCATTGCACTCCAGCCTGGGTAACAAGAGCGAAACTCCATCTCAAAAAAAAGAAACCTTAGCTATTGTTAACAGATAAATTTGTCTCATTCTGCTTTGTATTTGAAAGGTATGAGATTCTGAATTAAAATATCTAACAGACTAGTCCCAAAAGACTATGTGTTCCCCACCTTAATTTCTCATGTAGTTGGCTCTGTGTTCACCATTATCAGAAACTCATGCATATTGCCAACAATTAGGGGGTTGCCAAACCAACTGTGTTTTATCTATATCTAGAGAATGAAGCAGCTACTAAAAATTATTTGTAGGTTACATAACAGCATGTGAAAATACATATGTTCTAAGTGGAAAAGACAAACTAAAAAAGAAGCACATATATAAATTAATTATAATAGCTATGTTTTAAAAAAAGAAAACTTTTAATGGAAAAACTCTGGAAGAAAACTTACCAGAATTCTAATAGTTGGTTGTGTGAAGTTGGTGACAGTAGATGATTTTTATCCTTTATTGTGTTGTTGTTTTCTAATGTGATTATATATTATTATAAAAACTTTTAGATACCTGTGTAGGCAATAAGGAGCTGACTGTACTTGCTGAACTAGTGTAGTGTTATATAGTAAATATAGTAATACTACTCTAATTTTGTACCAACAATAGTAATTTCAGTTTCTATCACCCTTTATCAATGAGTTCATGTACTAGATTACCTTTGGTCGTGACTTATTTATGGGTAAATGAATTTATATAACATTTTTCTTGAGCAGTATATGAAATATACATATATTAATAAAAGATGAATTTTTGCCCTTATAAAATAGGGCTCTATCAAAATTATTTAGTCCTCTACATATAATAAAACTAGTATTTGGTAAGTAGGACTGCTTCTGAAAATAAAGATTTGCAGGGAGTAGGAGACAGGGAATGATTCCCAGCTGTTAGGAGGAAATAGATAAAGTGATGTAGTAAATAAAAAACTACTACTAAAATGAAACTTGGAAAATATTTATGGAAGATACATACAAACTAAAGGCAAATGGCCTTTGTGTATTATGTTATTGGTTTGAAGTAAGTAAACATGCAGAATCATGTTAACCTATCATACACAAAGACAACCATTATTTATAGTTGTCCATATTGTTCTGATCAGCAAATAGACATAAGAGCACAAACTCTAGAGCCAGACCACTTGGATTCAAAACCTGGCTAAACCTCTGAATGACCTTTGGCAAGTGATTTTAACTCTCTCGGGTTCAGTTTTCTCATCTGTCAAATGAGGATTATAGTAATACCTACCTCATAAAGTTAGTCAAGATTAAATGTGTTAAGATATGAGAATAGTACCTGGTACATATTAGATGTGTTGGCTATTTTTATTATTGTTAAAGAAATTTTTTTTAAGAATTTTTTTTTAAATATGTTTATGTTTTAGATGGTTGACATAGATAAAAAACAGAATTTGGAAGCTAAAAATACCCAAACACTGACTGCAGATGTTAAGGATAATGATATAATTGAGCAGCAGAGGAAGATATTTTCTTTAATACAGGAGAAGAATAAACTCCAACAAATGTTAGAGAGTGTTAGAGCAGAAAAGGAACAATTGAAGACTGACCTAAAGGAAAATATTGAAATGGTAAGATTTAGCACTGTACACTTGGCGATTCCTTTTTGTCTTCGTTTTAGATTTTTATCAACTTTATTGAGGTATAATTTACATACAATAAATGTGTCTGGCAGATGTGTATGGTCTGATGACTTTTGACAAATGGTTCTATTTCCTCTACACCCCAGTCAAGATAGAATATGTTTCCATCACCCCAAGAAAGTTTCCTCATACCCCTACCACTGACCCTCATCACCTCCTCCCTGCCAGATTATCAGTTCTGTTATGTTCACCTTAAATCATTTGTCTCTTCTAGTTCTGTATACAAGTAGAATCATATAGTATGTAGTCTGTTATGTTTGACTCCTTTCTACATTCCCATTTACTGCCAAGGAATAGTTTATCTTGTTCATATGCCATAATTTTTTTATCCTTTCTCCTGTTGATGGAAATTTGGGTTATGTCCAATATTTGGCAATTTTGAATAAAACTGCTATAAACATTCTTGTACAACTCTTTTTATTTACTTATCATTATTTATCTAAGGTAAATACCTAAATGGAATTGCTGTGTTATAGGAAAGTATATGTTTAGCCTGATGAGACTTTGCTAGACTGATTTCCAAAGTACATTTATATCATTTTACAGTCCCATTAGCAAATTAAGAGAATTCTGGTGGCTCAACCATCCTTCTTCACCAACACTTCATATTTATTGGCGCTTTTAATTTTAGCCATTCTAATGGGTGTATAGATTGTTGTTTTAATATGCCTTTCCTTAATGACTAAAGATGTTGAATATTTTTTCTCATGCTTATAGATCATTGTCTATCTTCCTCTAATTTATCTGTTCTCAAAGAGAGGTGTTGTAGATTTTCAGTGTGTAGGTCTTTAATATTTTATTAAATTTGTTCCTAAATGTTTCTCTTTTATTTTTTGCTATCGTAATTTTAAAATATTATTTTTAATTGTTTGTTGTTGATGCCTGCCAATATTTTCACACTTTAGTTTTTCTGTGTTTCGGGGTGATGTAATATGTCTAGGTTGAAATAAATATTTGGAGAAGTTCACTGTGTATCCTAGTAGAATGTGACCATTTGTATGGTTTAATTTTGCAAGTTTGGGGAATTGTGTGCTTGGTCAAAAGAGCAGAATGTAATTAATCATGCAAACAAAAAATGATATTTTCTTCTCAGTCTCTGGCTTGTTATGTTTTTGTGGTCTTGATACAGGAGAATATTATCATTGTGTGAGCCTAATAACTAGAATTAGCCCAAGTCATGCTCGCAAAGGGTGGCTGCTATTTTGAGCTCGCTGGTGATCAGTGCCTAAAACCAAAGGCACCCCAGTGTTTGAAAAACCTATTGCTTTAGTCTTATTATTACTCAGTGATAGCTCAGAAAACGTCTTTTTTGGCTGAAAGGCAGAAATGAGCTAAGATTTCATGATAGAATGTTAAATCCAATTCAAACTCTCATCGTAGAAATGTAAATTGAGCAATAAAGAAACTATAAAAAGCCAAGTCTTGGCATCTTATATTATTAAATTAAGGGCTTTCTTTTCTGAAATTAGTCTTTTCCTATATAGTTTTCCCTGATTTGCTTCATTTGCAGACTGAGGGAACTGCTGACGTTTTACCTGATTTCATAAACATCAGCTAATATTTTCTTTAATCTCAACATTTTTTTCTTTCTAGACCATTGAAAACCAGGAAGAATTAAGAATTCTTGGAGATGCACTTAAAAAGCAGCAAGAGATAGTTGCACAAGAAAAGAACCATACCAGAAAGAAGGAAGAGGAACTTTCTAGGACCTGTGACAGACTGGCAGAAGTTGAAGAAAAGCTAAATGAAAAGGTGAATTTTTAAAGTTCTTTTCCTGGCCATTTTTTCTAACTAAACTTCTTTTTGGTAGTAAATTTTTGTTTCTGTAGACCTAAATCCAGAAATAGCACATACCTTCCAAATGAACATATTTTAATGCTAGTATTATTCAAAAGTCTTTGGGTAAGAGGGGGCTTCGTATCATTTAAACATATCATGTGATATATTCATTCATCAAATATTTATTGAGCACTGTCATGGGCCAGGCACTGTTCTGGGAACTTGAGATAAACTAGTCAACAAAACAACGATTCTTTCCTTGCAGAGATACATTACTCATTCTCTGAAATATAAGATTCATCACTATCACCACCTCTTAGATGTTTGCAGTTTCCCGAATCATTTCTTATACAGAAGCTAGGTGCTATTGGGATATTTGTGTAAGAGCTAAGACCCCTGTAACAGCTGTAGTTCCCAAGAGATTCTAAAATGCACCCATAGAGATTTTTCTATATAAGCTAAGGGCAGTGCCACATGCATTATAGGTAATATATTGTGGTTTCTATTATTCTTCTGGGGAATATTTTTTCTTTTCTTTTTTTAATTGAGACAGGGTCTCACTGTGTCACCCAGGCTGGAGTGCAGTGGCATGATCACACTTACTGTAGCCTCATCCTCCCTGGGTTCAGGCAGTCCTCTCACTTCAGCCTCCCGAGTAGCTTGGACTAAATTAGCTGTGCCACAACACCCAGCTAATTTTGTATCGTAGAAACAAGGTCTTTGTATGTTGCTGGTCTCGAACTCCTGGGCTCAAGTAGTCCTCCTGCTTCAGCCTCCCAAAGTGCTAGGATTACAGGTGTGCGCCATCATGCCCAGCCTGTTATTTTCTTAATATGTCATTTTTTTAAATTCTGATCCCTTTCACTATCTCACCTAATTGGATTTACGAAAACCTTATGTCTATTTGATACTCCTATAAAAAAGTAAAATCACAGCCTGTGACAGGTAATGTCTCAGTGTTTTGGGGAACTACCCATAAGCATCTTATTGAAAGTGAAAATAAATTCTCCAAAAGTTTTTAAGAGGATGAGGAATTACAGTTATTTGGTAGCTGTATTTGTATATTTAATAGTCTCTTTGCTTTTTTACTTTATCTCATCTTCCCCTTATATCCTTAATCACTTTATTTTATCTCCTTAATCTGCCTATATCAGTTTCCTAGGGCTGCCATAGCAAATTGCTGTTAACTTGATGGCTTACAATAGAAATTTATTCTGTCACAGTTCTGAATCCTAGAAATCCAAATTTGAAGCGTCATCGATGCCATATTTCCTCTGAAGGCTCTAAGGAAGAATCATTCTTTGCTTCTTCCTAGCTTCCAGTGTCTCCCAGCTACCCTTTGCATTCCTTGGCTTTTAACTGCTTCACTCCAGTCTCTGCTTCTCTCTTCACATGACCTCTTTCCCTGTGTCTGTCTATGCCCTTTTATGTTTCTTATAAATACATTCATTGGAATGAAGACCTACTCCAGTAGGATCATGTCTCAATCCTAATCCAGTAACATCTGCAAAGACTATTTCCAAGTAAGTTCACATTCTGAAGTTCCTGGAAGACATGAATTTTGGGTGGGACAAAATTCAACCCACTACAGACATTTATGCCTGTGAGTTTCATTTACTTTTAATTCCACTTATCTATATGGTGATAGGAAGCTGGGCTGTTAATGATTTTATGTAAGAATTTCGAGAATATAGACAAAATGGTAATTATAAAAATTGTACATTTTAAGAGCCAGCAACTCCAAGAAAAACAGCAACAACTTCTTAATGTACAAGAAGATATGAATGAGATGCAGAAAAAGATTAATGAAATGGAAAATTTAAAGAATGAATTAAAGAACAAAGAATTGACATTAGAACATATGGAAACAGAGAGGCTTGAGTGGACTCAGAAACTTAATGAAAATTATGAGGAAATTAAATCTATAACCAAAGAAAGAAAAGCTATAAAGGAATTACAGGAGTCATTTGAAACAGAGAGAGACCAACTTAGAGGATATATAAGAGAAATTGAAGCTACGGTAAGTTATACCCTTTTCCTTCATCTATTAAGTGTTTCTCTTTAAAACTGGAGCCACTTGGAAAGAGGAAAGCATTGTTGGAATAATAGTACAATATTCTTTAAATTTCACTTTCCAAGGGCCTACAAACAAAAGAAGAACTAAAAATTGCTCATATTAATCTAAAAGAACACCAAGAAACTATTGATGAACTAAGAAGAAACATATCTGAGAAGACAGCTCAAATAATGAATATTCAGGACTTAGAAAAATCCCATACCAAATTGCAAGAAGAGGTATGTCTTTTATTCTTTTAATCTGTTGTCGCTTCTTCCTCTCTCCTTTGAATGAAAGACAACCAGTAAGGAGTGGCTAGGATGTGGTTCATTCATTGACTGGGTATTTTTTAAGTATCTAATGTAGCAGGTACTCTCCTGGGTTACAGAAATATAATGAGAACAAGGTGGACAAACCCCCTAAAATCCTTCTGATTCATTTGTAGTGAAAGAAAGTAGCTGATAAATAAGATATCAAATGAACAAGAAAACATTAAATATGGTAAATGCTATGGAGAAAGTGAAACATTGGCATAACTGGGCCAACCTATATTAAAAGCCTACTCTATGCCAGACATTGAAACTATAGATATAAATAAGACATTTTTCTTTCCCCCCATTATAGGCAAGAAAAAAAGCTAGAAAAAAAATCCCTCAATTCCGATATGGTAAATGAAGAAATATGCAAAATTACATGGTACCACTAATTGATCATGGAAAGAAAAATCAATATATACACATAGAAAAGTTGAGACATAGCATTGGAGACCCTCTGAAAACAGAGATCATACATTCATTGGGATGTAGTTTGCTCAACTATGGTTTTTCTCTTGTAGCATTTGGAAACTAGTGGAGAAATAAGTGTGCGACTGACTGCTAGTAAAATATAACAGTTGGTTCACTTTGCATCTAAATTAGAAAAAATGGAAATTATGATAGAATATGACTACTAGAAAAGTCATAAATAGCTTTAGCAGGAATTGAGGGAAAATGAATTATGAGGAGTTTGTGATCCAAGGTAGGCTGAAGGTTCAAGATGACTTTCCTTATTGTGAAAAATATACTGATCTTTTCCCTTTAAAAATTTATGATAATAGCCACCTGATTACAGGCGCAGTGGCTTACACCTGTAATTCTAGCACTTTGAGAGACCGAGGCGGGATCACCTGTGGTTAGGAGTTTGAGACCAGCCTGGCCAACATGGTCAAACCCCATCTCTACTAAAAATACAAAAATCAGCTAGGTGTGGTAGCACACACCTGTAATCCCAGCTACTCAGGAGGCTGAGACAGGAGAATCTCTTGAACCCAGGAGGTGGAGGTTGCAGTGATCTGAGATTTTGCCACTGCACTCCAACCTGGGTAACAGAAAGAAATACTGTCTCAAAAAAACAATTATAATAAGCTCCAGATAATAACCTTGGTTATTTTATAAATGTCCTAAGATCCCAGTGCTTCATGATGAACAGGAGCTACTTCCTAACGTGCAAGAAGTCAGTGAGACTCAGGAAACAATGGATGAACTGGTGTTATTAAAAGAACAGTCCACAACCAAGGACTCAACAACACTGGCAAGCATAGAAATGGAAAGGCTCAGGTTGAGTGAAAAATTTCAAGAAAGTCAGGAAGAGATAAAATCTCTAACCAAGGAAAGAGACAACCTTAAAATGATAACAGAAGCCCTTGAATTTAAACATGACCAGCTGAAAGAACACATTAGAGAAACTTTGGCTAAAGTAAGTTTCATATTTTCCTCCCATTGTAATAAGTGTCTTAAAAGAATCAAGGCTTGTGTTTGTGTGATAGTTATAATATTTATATTATAATTATAATGTTACCAGTCTTTTAATGTCTCTTAATCATGAAATGATTTAGAAACAGAACAATTAAAATTGTTCGTGAATATCAAGAAGCTTTGAAACTAAGAGATGTTTCAAAGAAGACAGCTGTCTTCTTAAATATTCAAAAAATGATTTAGAAAAAATAAGTCTAAACTACAAGAAAGAGTGAAAGCAATTATGGATTATTTTCTTCTTTAAATCTGTTTTTCCAATGTTTTATAAAGCATATTATGTCTTTCTCATTGTTTTAGTCAGAAATCTGGGAGTTCTTTCTACTAATATCCCTTCCCATCTGCTTATTCTGTAATCCAGTCACCAAATCTTGTTGATTTGAGTATGTAGTTTAAAAATCATCCTGCTTTTCTCTCCACACTGCCACCACCCTAATCCAAGTCACCATCATTTCTTTCCCTGGTTGTCTGCAGTAGCCTCCTAACTGGTCTTCCCACACTCATTCTTACACTTCTCTAATCCAGTTTCTAATACTGAGCCTAAGTGATCCTTTCTCACATTCTTTTAATATCTTATTGTTACTTCTTAAATAAAGACCAGGATCCTCTATATGGCCTATGGGGCCCTAGGTGAAGATCTTTCTGGTCTCACTTCAGTTCACTCTTCTTCCTATTCTTTGTTCTCCAGCAACACTCATGTGTTGCTCTCCTAGTTCATGGCTTTCAGATGCTCAGGTCTCTGTACCTATAGTCCTTCTATACTCCTTTCGCCTAACTAATGCTCTTACCCTGAAGATCTCAGTTAAAGCTTTCTTTCCTCTAGGAAGCTCTTCCTAATCATTCGCAATAGCCTATATTTGGCACTTAGGCCCTAGGAGAAGCCAGCATCTCTGTTTGGTAAGATTCAACATAATACCTATCTTTGTCCTTAAAATATAAGTCTCAAAAAGAGAGAGATGATCGTTTTGTCTCCAACCTCGAATAAGATGCAGACAACGTAGTGAGACCTCAATTTTTAAAAAGTGTTAAATGCCTGAGTAATGGAAGGGTGGGAGAGTGGAGAGATTGCTCTGTAAATGAGGCATTGAATCCTGCCTTAATTGTTTTAGAAAGCATCCTGATTTATTTTCCCCTAAAATACAGTAACTCTGGATACCAACTGTAATGTTTTATGATTCTCTTCAGATCCAAGAGTCTCAAAGCAAACAAGAACAGTCCTTAAATATGAACGAAAAAGACAATGAGACTACCGAAATCATGAGTGAGATGGAGCAATTCAAAGACAAAGATACAGCACTACTAAGAATAGAAATAGAAATGCTCAGATTGTCCAAAAGACTTCAAGACAGTCATGATGAAATGAAATCTTTGGCTAAGGAGAAAGATGACCAACAGAGGCTGCGAGAAGTTCTTCAATCTGAAAGTGACCAGCTCAAAGAAAACATAAAAGAAATTGTAGCTAAAGTAGGTTTCATCTTTTCACCATGTTTTTTAAAAATATTTTATAACCAAATATTTTTATAAACCCTAAATATTTGGAAAAGGGAGTTAATTACAGCATAATGGTTATAAAGTTTCTATAAATTTACCGGAATTTTCTCTAATAATAAAGCACCTGGAAACTGAAGAGGAACTGAAAGTTGCTCGTTGTTGCCTGAAAGAACAAGAGGAAACTATTGACGAATTAAGAGTCAATCTTTCAGAAAAGGAAGCTGAAATGTCAACCATTCAAAAAGAATTAGAAGCAATCAATGATAAATTACAGAACAAGGTAAATTGGGGATGAAGAAACAATAAAAGGAAATGTGTGGGGGTGAGTAGCAAACTAGATTATGAATACTTTTTAGCATACTTAATTGTTTTGGAAAGCAACCTTTTTTCCCCCCTTAAGTTGTGTGTGTGTGTGTGTGTGTGTGTGTGTGTGTGTGGTGTGTGTGTTTAACATATTTTTTTTGACTGTTAATTTATTGTATGATTATGTTTAAGATCCAAGAGCTTTATGAGAAAGAGGAACAACTTAAACAGATAAGTGAGATTCAGGAAAAAATGAATGAACTGGAACAATTCAAGGAGCATCTCAAAGCCAAAGATTCAGCACTACAAAGTATAGAAAGTGAGATGCTCAAGTTGACTAATAGACTTCAAGAAAATCAAGAGGAAATACAAATTATGATTAAGGAAAGAGATGAACTGAAAAGAGTACAGGAGGCCCTCCAGATAGAGAGAGACCAACTGAAAGAAAACAATAAAGAAATTGTAGTTAAAGTAAGTTTCCATCTTACATTTTTTGCATACAGAAATAGTGTTAAGATGATAATGATGATGTTCACTGTTAACTTTTATTAATTTTCCTCTAATCATAAAGGGACTAGAAATATAAGAGGAACCAGAAACTGCTTGTATTCAACTTAGTACCAGTAAACTGTTAGTAGATGGAGTATTTCAGAGAAGACAGCTCAAGTAGCAAATATTCATTGGGATTTAGGAAATTCTGATGATGAATTCCAGGAAAAAGTGGGATTTGTTAAATTGGAAAATGACATCTAATTAGTGTTACTCATATCCTTTATGAAAGAAAACAGTACATACATTAGATTAAAATGTAAAAGTGATTGATTGCCTTATTTTAGGAACAATTCTTCCTTTTCCTAAAAAAAATTCTGCCTATGTTGTAAATTACTTTATAGTTTTCTCAGATGCAAGAATCTCAAGAAAAAGAACATCAGCTTCTTAAGATGACAGCTGTCAATGAGACTCAGGAAAAAAATTGTGAAATAAAACACTTGAAGGAGCAACTTGAGACCCAGAAGTTAAGCCTGCAAAATATAGACATGGAAAATGTAAGGTTGACTCAGATACTACATGAAAACCTTGAAGAAATGAGATCTATAACAAAAGAAAGAGATGGCCTTAGGAGTATGGAGGAGATTCTCAAAGTAGAGAGAGACCAGCTCAAGGAAACCCTTAGAGAGACCATAACTAGAGTGAGTTACCATCTCTCTATACTGCTAGTAACTATGACATTGCGTCCTAAAAAAAAGTCTGTCAGAGGGTTGGTCGGAGTATAAACTTGGTCCAATATTGAGGAAAGTTGGAGAGGGTATATTTGGTAATACCTTCCAAATTTTTCATAAAGTTTATTGATACAGAAAGTCCAGTTGTAACTCTCCTTCACACATTTGCACAACTGTATAAAGATATTTATAGGATATTCTTTGCAACAAGTTGCAATAATGGAATAACACAAAAACAGGGAAAATTCTAACTATCCATTGGTAGGGGACTGGTTAAAAAAGTGCAGCACATTCACATCATCGAATACTATGCCGCAGATAAAAAATGTGGTAGAACTATAGTGCTGATTTGAAGTGTGGAGTGTCCAGTTAAGGAACAGGTTAAGTTGAAGAGTAATATAGTGACATCTAAAAGTAGCTTAGAGGGTGAGAACTAGGAGGCCTCAGAAGAGTGTGGGAGATTTTTACCTCCTGCCCTATACCTTTCTATAGCACATAAGTGGTATTACTCTCAATATATTATTTTTATTTTTCTGTCAATAAAGGACCTAGAAAAACAAGAGGAGCTAAAAATTGTTCACATGCATCTGAAGGAGCACCAAGAAACTATTGATAAACTCAGAGGAGTTGTTTCAGAGAAAACAAATGAAATATCAAATATGCAAAACGACTTAGAAAATTCAAATGCTGCCTTAAAAGCACAGGTATTTTTTTTAAGTTATATTAGTTACTGAGAGTTTTAATCAAATCTTTTTATGTAATGAAACAAGATAAGAGTTAGCCTAAAATTGAAGGCAAGTGAGGACTTAACTTGCCTACTCAATTTAGAAACTTTTATCTTTTTATATCTGCTGATATCCTAACTTACTGTATGATTATCTGAAGATCCAAGAACTTCAGGAGAAAGAACATCAACTTCTTAAAAGTGAAAAGTAAAAATGATCTCAGGGAAACTATGTATCAAACAGGCCAGTTAAAGAATCAATTAGAAGCCCAGAGTTTAACTTTGAGAAGTATAGAAATGGAGAAATTAAGATTGACCCAGAAGCTTCATGAAAACTTTAAGAAAAATGATGGCTTAAGAAGAATAGAGGAAACCCTTAAAATGAATAGAGACCACCTTAGGGAAGGCCTTGGAGAAATAGAAGCTAAAAAGTAAGTTAGCTCATTCCTCTCCCTACCAATTCAATGCATTGTCATCTTACAGCAATGAATCCTTCTTTGAACCAAGTAAACCTCTTGGCAAGAATGAAATAATGTAGCCTTTTAAGCAGATAATTTGGTTCTTGAAAATGCTGAAGTCTGCAATTATCATTTTCTTTATGGACTTTAGCCTGTATATATTCTGTTAAAGGAGTGTGTGTGTATCAAACACAATATATACATATACCACAAGTTATTTATTGTAGCAGTTTTAATTAAAAATATGAAACAATCTAAATGTTCTCAGAAGGAAATAGTAAATACAAACAGTATGTCAAAATACTAGGCAACACTTTAAAAAGGTAACATATTTGTAATGTGTTTGCCTCTGGAAAGCAGTAGAGTGTGAAAAGATGAGGACAGGGAAGAGAAAGCTTATAACTTAAGAACAACAGCAAAGATATAGAGTAATAGTGTTATTATTTTTACTAAGAAAACATATCACTTTATTTTATAAACACTAATATTAAGATATGTCACTGTTTTTTAAATTTCTCTAATGATAAAGGATCTGAAAAAACAAGAGGAACTGAAAATTGCTCACGTGCATCTAAAAGAGCACCAGGAAACTATTAACAAACTCAGAGGAATTGTTTCTGAGAAGACAGATAAAATATCAGATATGCAAAAAGATTTAGAAAATTCAAATGCTAAATTACAAGAAAAGGTATTTTTGTTGGGTGATTGTTGGATTGGATATCTGATTTATTTGTGCCTAAAATTGTTGGGGATGTAGAATGGTTCAACCGCACTGGAAAACAGTGTTACTAATGCTGGACATAGCCTGCCTTTAGCCCTACATTTCCACTTCTTGGGTATGTACCTAAGAAAAAAAGACTATATACATACTTCTATAAAAAGACACAAGAATTTTTGTAGCAGCCTTATTCAGAATAGCAAAAAACTGAAAACTCAAATGTCTGTCAGCAGGAGAATGGATAAAAACATTGTGATATATAAGCTCAAAAGCAGACAAAACTGAACCAGGTTGATAAAGGTCAGATTAGTGGCTGCCTCCAGGAAGGGGCACACAGAAACTTTATGAAGTGCTAGAAATATTCTCTGTTTTAGTCTGGGTTGTAGTTTTATAGATTTGTACCTGTGTCAAGAATGATTAAGTTATACATTGAAGATTGGTGTGCTTTATATATATTATTACCTCAAAAGAAAATCAAATTCTGTGTGGAGTTATGCAAGATATCAGTGAGAGTAACATGGGTAGACAGTTGTCTTAATACATTTAGAAACTATTATTTATTTGTCTCTGAAAAGCCACCTAACATATTATTTTATGGTTATCTTAAGATTCAAGAACTTAAGGCAAATGAACATCAACTTTATAAGTTAAAAAAAGATGTCAGTGAGACACAGAAAAAAGTGTCTGAAATGGAGCAACTAAAGAAACAAATTAAGGACCAAAGCTTAACTCTGAGTAGAATAGAAATGGAGAACTTAAATTTGGCTCAGAAACTTCATGAAAGCCTTGAAGAAATGAAATCTGTAATGAAAGAAAGAGATTATCTAAGAAGAGTAGAGGAGACGCTCAAACTAGAGAGAGACCAGCTCAAGGAAAGCCTACAAGAAACGAAAGCTAGAGTGAGTTGTGTTCTCTCTTTACCCTATGGTGATGTTCACACATTTGGGCAAAAATACAGTATTCACTGAAGCATTGTGTGTGGTGACCAAACCCTAGAAGTAATCTAAGTGTCCACCAATAAGGCACTCTCTGTATAATGGAAAACTAAGCATAAGAATGGGGTATTCTTCATGTGATACTGATTTAGAACCATGTCCAAATGGTATGAAAGGAGAAGGCTGTAGCGGAGGCTAGCAGCAGGAAATTTTACTCTACTATTCTAATTTGGGAGGTTGTTTAATTGTTGTTTTTAACTGTGAGTGTGTATTTTTTAAGATTTTCTTTAAACTCATTAATCATTGTGCCTTTATATCATTACATTTCTGGATTTCTCCTAACAATAAAGGATCTGGAAACACAACAGAAACTAAAAACTGCTCATATGCAATCAAAAGAACACCAAGAAACTATTGATAAACTTAGAGAAAAACTTTCAGAAAAGACAACTCAAATTTCAAACATTCAAAAGGATTTAGATAAAAGATGAATTACAGAACAAGATAGGGGTTGTTTTGTTCTTCTTTTACATGCAACTGTGTCCAAAATTAGACTTGTGGAATTAGAAAAGATATACAGATATGTAGATACATATGTGCATGTAGAACACAAGTAGACACTACTTTTCTTGAAGAAACTGCTTACATTCTGACTTGTTTTATAATTATCTCAAGATCCAAGAACTTCTGAAAAAAGAACTTCAACTGCTTAGAGTGAAAGATGTCAATAAATATCACCAAAAAATTAATGAAATGGAACAGTTGAAGAAGCAGTTTGAGGCCCAAAACTTATCTGTGCAAATTGTGAGAATGGATAACTTGGAATTGACTAAGAAACTTCATGAAAGCCTTGAAGAAATAAGAATTGTAGCTAAAGAAAGAGATGAGCTAAGGAGGATAAAAGAATCTCTCAAAATGGAAAGGGACCAATTCATAGCAACCTTAAGGGAAATGATAGCTAGAGTGAGTTCAGAATCTTCTGCTGTGTAGTAACTATTAATAAGAATTAACCTTTTTTGAAAAGAATTACTATGTTTTTATTTCTTTTTCTGGAAATTTCTATGAACAGTAAAAGATAGTGGGGAATGATTACTATAATTTTCACACAATAAAAAGTTTTAAAAGAAGCAAAAATGTTTTCAGAACGTAACATTTAACTGTTAAAGCAGACTATTTCCCTTAATATAACTTCTTAACTTTTTTTTTAATCAAGAAACAGCATTATTCTAAATGGAGAAACATTTGAAGGACTACATTTGTAAGAGAGCAAATATTCCCATTTCTTTACTTATACATGCTAGAATTCTAGAGATGGGCTCTTATTGGTGAAGTTAAAAGGAAAAACAGCAAGATAAATATAAAAATTAAGTTCCTCTGATATGACTATAGATATTCAGAATCATATATTCTTAAAACACTTAATTAAATCCTCTTTTTAAAAGTAACAAAGTTTAGACAAATAAGTTGATTAAAATCTGTAAAAATATTTTTTATTCTCATATATCTTTATGCAGGTCTTAACTAAATTTATAAAGGCATTTAATTTATTCAATAACTATTCTTCTAGGTACTGTAGTGAGCAAGATAAACAAGCAGGAGAAAATGTTTTTGTTTCATTTTGTACTTTTTAATCAGAAATGCAAAATTTACACAGGATATAAACTTTTCCAAGGTGCTGGGGAAAATATATAACTAGGGTTGGGAACACTATAGACAGTACAGATGGTTTTGCCCCAATATATTTCGTTGGCAGCAGTCGATGCGTTAAGATAAAAGTAAGTGAGTTACCCTGTTAAAACTATAACTGAATGATGCAGAGATTTGGAAAGGCAGGAACCAGAAATTAAAATCTAACTTATTTGTTTTCTTATGTATTTATTTATTTATTGTTATAGAGACAAAATCTCACTATGTTGCCCAGGCTTGTTTTGAACACCTGAGCTTGAGTGATCCTTCTGCCTCACCCTCCCAAAGTGCTAGGATTACAGGCATGAGCTACCACACTTGGCCCTAAAACCAAATTTGTAGCTATGAAAAATAAATCCTATCTCCAAAAAATAGATGGTTCTACTTTTTTCCCAGTGAGTTGAGGTCATTCCCTATAAAACTTACTGGTACTATTTTTCATTTTCTGATCATTTTAACATTGCTTTTGAGTTACAAGTGTAATATTTAATTCCATTATTGAAATGCCATATAATTTAAAAGTGTACAATTAGATATATGTGAATATAGTTATGACTAAAGTCCTGTTTGTTTTCTTTTTAACCAAAGCAGGACCAACAGAACCACCAAGTAAAACCTGAAAAAAAGTTACTAAGTGATGCACAACAGCAGCTTATAGAAAGCATGAGAGAAAAGTGTTCTAGAATAAAAGTAAGTGCCTCCTGCTAAACTACAAATGATTATTGGTTCCCTTCCAAAGGCTTCCTGAAACCTAAAGTGCAATTGAAGGAACCTCTGGAATGAATAGATCGTGCCCAGTATTTTTCTAAACATTGTAATCTAGTACAGATGTGTGTGTGTGTGTGTATGCATATATGCACACATACACAAACAACAATGGGAGCTTGTGAATTTAAGTCCTCACCAGAAAAATGATACTGGAGCAACTACGTAAAGGGCCGGGCCATACAGATGTCTGAAGAGACCATTATAGGCAAAGGGAACAGCAAGTACAAAGTTCCTGAGGCAGAAGACTCTGTGGTGGTTCAAGGAACATCAAGCTGCTAACAAGCAAGGTCAGAGTTAACAGGGAAAAGGCAGGCTGTAGGACACGAAAAAATACTTTGATTTTATTAAGTGAGATGGAGATCCATTGGTGAGTTTTTACTGCAAGAGAAACATGATCTGGCTTACATTTTAAAGGGATGACTCTTAATTGTTATATTGAAAATAGAGTGGAAGCAGAAAGACCATTATAAAGAACAATTTCAATCATCCAAGCAGACATCATCCTGGCCTGGCCCAGAGAGGGAGCAATAGAGGTAATGGGAAGTGTTGAGATTCTAAATACACAAAGTTAACAGGATTTACAGTCACACCTGTTGGAATGCAAGAGCTCTAAGGACATTTTTGTTTTCTTTGACTGTATCACTTAGCACATTCCTGACATAAGTCAGTGTTTACTATGCTGCATACCGTAGTTGCTTCATCCTAAAACCAAAACCAGGAATCTTCTCTCCAACATTCTAAATTAATTAACATCTATCTTTTCTTACATTATGAAAAATAGAGGGCTCATTCCTGAGAAAGTCCTTGTTTTATTGTTTAGCACCCTGAACTAAACATGTTACCTACTACATGATTAAGCAACTTGAATTTTATGTTTCTTTCTACCTGTGCTCTGACCAGTGTGTCACCTGCACAGCCTCAAGTCCCTTGAGTTTATGGACCCAGAGTTTATTGCCTGTCTACTATATGCCAGGTACCATACTAGGTGCTTTATCTCATGACATAGGCTTTATTGCTCCATTCATAAACAAGGAAACTGAGGCTCAGAAAGGAAGTTAAGCAGTACCCACAGCTGGTAAATTGGTAGAATCAGAATTTTAAACTAAGTCAGACTTGTATATGACTTAGTTTAAAACTTGGGTATAGAAACATTTTTACAAATAAAATTTTGTTTCCTTCAGGCTTAATGACTGCATCTGTTTTATAGATCACATAGATATATAGGTATAGATCATATATTTTCCCTGACCCCAGAAAACTTGGTAAATATTCTTCCTGTTGTTTTGAAAATGGCTCAGTGACTTCTCCAGTTCAGAGCTGGAACCTGAACTCTACCTTTGATAAAGGGTTAGAAAACAGATTCTAGGCAGATAATAGGATTGTGTCAAATACCTATACCAAGCTGACAAATAGGCGGTTTGATTCTTAATCACTTATTTTATCTGCTAGCTCAGATTCTATAAACATAAACCAGCACTCAACCATAAACTACAATACATACTTGATTGAATTTACTCAAATTTCTCATCAGACTTTGTCCATGTTGATTCAAATCGTGGATATTCAAAAAACTAAAAAAAAAATGCATCAAAATGTTGAGAATGGTTGGTCCTGACTTTCTTGTTATATTTGCTTAAATTGTTTAAATGGCCATAATAATTATATATTATTTCTATAATTTAAAATCAACAAGTTTCCTTTTGTTTTTAAACACAAAGGTCTTTATTTCTCTCCTACAGAAAAAAAAGCATAAGTTTTGTTACAATTCTAGAGTTGTAACTACTTATTGTTATATTAGCAAATTGTTATAAATTTAATGAATTCTTACTTCCTTTAGGAACTTTTGAAGAGATATTCAGAGATGGATGATCATTATGAGTGCTTGAATAGACTGTCTCTTGACTTGGAGAAGGAAATTGAAATCCAAAAAGAGCTTTTAATGAGAGTAAAAGCAAACCTCTCACTTCCCTATTTACAAACCAAACAAATTGAAAAACTTTTTACTGCAAACCAGAGGTGTTCCATGGAATTCCATAGAGTCATGAAGAAACTCAAGGTACCATCTTTTTTAGTAATATCCGTGAAATATTGCTGTAAATGTCTGTTATAAACATCAGTATATTTAAGTCCTGCTTTGAGTGCCAGCATATTTGCTATTTAGAAGTCTTACTACCAAATTAGAAATTATGTGGGTCTGAGCATAGAATGTGTAGCATCATCAGTATGAATCACCTGGTCATTCAGCAACACCTGAACTCTGCCTGTGGGCCTAGACATTATGTCAGGGTGCTCAGGAGGCAGATGTGAGTTAACATTTCAAAGATCTTATAGTCTGGGGGTGAGACAAACATATAAACAAAATAAGTACAATGATAGAAGTACATGCAAGTTATATGCCATACTAGGTAAAGTTACAGAAGATGAATCTGTAGTGGAAACCAGACTCAATAACAAAGCTTGGAGTTCTTTTTGTAGATGGAGAATTATTAGACAGTCATTTTAAGTGGTGGCAGTAACAGGATCAGATTATCATTTAGGTGCTAAACTAAAGAATAAAGAAGAAATGAGTTTGAGGGAGATAAGCCTAGTGGCAGACAGCGACAGGAGGTATTTACAGTGGTTCAGATGAGATATTATATGTGACGTTATTACTAGGGAAGGTTTCATAGGGCTGAAGAGGACAAACAACATTAAAGAAATGTTTAGCAGCTTAAAATAGTAGGTCCACATAATTGATAGTGGGAGATAAGGGAGAGAAATTTAGATGGAGTTCTTGGATTTGGTCTTAGTCAGGTTTGAATTTCATTAACTGAGATTCAAAAATTAAAATTAAAAAAAAGAAACAAGGTAGATGAGGCAGGAGATTGTTTAACTTGAGATATTTGGGGGCTGAAATACCTGTGATGGAGCATCCAAGAAGAAAAACCAAGTAGGCATTTAGATGTGAGTTTGAGGTTTGGCAGGAGAAAAATAAGGACTAGCATTTGAGACTGATTAGCATATAGGTGATAGATAATACATTTGTAAGATCATCCAGAAAGCAAAATGAAAAAACAAAACAAAACTCTGGAAAAGATAAATGTCTAAGAGACAGTAGCAGAAAAGGGAGCACACGTGGGTTCAAGGTTGGAAAAGTCAAAGATACAGGAGAGAACCTAGCAAAAGTGCTGCTACCCACATCAGTAGAGAAGAGTATATCAAAGATGAAGTTGTGGGTGATAAATATTTCAGAGAGTCAGAATAGGGACTGAAGATATTCTCTCAATGTGGTGATAATAGAACTCATTGGTGATCCTTGTCAGAACAGTTTCAATTGAGTAGTTAAGGAAGAGACCAAATTGTAAGAGGTTAAGGAATGGTGGAAGTTGAGGAATTAAGAAGCAAGTATCTGCCCTTTGTAGATAAATTGCCCTTCAGGCCCTGGTAATTCTTCCACAAATCCTGGTAATCAGACATCTAGAATTATTCATGAAGTCCATGAAACATATGGCATTCAAATTATTGTCTCCTTGAAGCCAAATATCTAAATATGCTTGACAAGGGAGTCTTGAGACAGATAACATCATCTTTTTGGTTACCCAATCAGGGTTGGTGGATGAGGATGTTGAAAATGAGTCTCACAAGTTTAACTGGGAATCCTGGGTGATTGGCAATGAAATTAGCCAAAAGGGGGGCAATAGGAAAAGGAGGACTTGCAGAGAGAGGGATGATGTTACATTTTAAACATGTTCAATTTGAAGTACTTGTAAGACATCCAAGAAGTATATCTAGTAAGAAGTCAGAAATAAGGAAGTATAGATTTGGGAGTTAGTTATTCTCCTAAGATACTAAGGAAAAAACTGAGGATAGAGAGAAGCTCTTTCCTTCTTCCTCACTTATGAGAGGATATAGGTAAATAAAAGATGTCATCCTACCTCACAGTCACAAGGATTAAAACTTCCTCTAAATGTGACAAAATTTTCACTTTCCAATTTGTTCAATTTTTTTCTGCAAGTATGTGTTAAGCTATGTTACAAAAATAAAAGAAGAACAACATGAATCCATCAATAAATTTGAAATGGATTTTATTGATGAAGTGGAAAAGCAAGAGGAATTGCTAATTAAAATACAGCACCTTCAACAAGATTGTGATGTACCATCCAGAGAATTAAGGGACTTCAAATTGAGCAGGAATATTGATCTACATATTGAGGTATAATTTATTTTAAATGGATTTAATTAGATTTTAAGCCTTTTTATCAAGTAGAAAAGACTTTTTTATGTGCTTAGAACCATTTTCATTTACCAGTAATTAAAAATAGGTTGCAGAGTGATACCTGGCCAGCCATAGATGGGCAAATGATGGACTTAGCCTCCTTTTAGACCTTCATAGATACAGAAAACAGGAAAACTTCTTACATTGATACTGGCAGTGACAAACCTTTTTATTGCCACAACATGGCATGTGTTAGTTACTTCTATTCATCTATGTGAGGCTGGCATCCTATTTCTAACATGTATATAAGTCTGCTATATGTACTAAAAAGTACATTTAGAAGCACTTCATGAAGCCAGCCCCAGTGGTATGCCTGTAATTCCAGCTACTTAAGAGGCTCAGCCAGGAGGATCACTTGAGGCCAGGAACTCAAGACCAGCCTGGGCAACATAGTGAGACCATCTCAAAAATTAAAAATTAAGATGCACTTCAGGTATTGTAGCAATTAGTCCCAAGTTTGCCATTTTGACAAGTTTTAATTCGAATAGGTAAAATCTTTTACATCACGTATACTGCCAAAATATTATTATGGAAATAACTAGAATAAAGTTTAACTTACAATTATATTTCTTAGTTTACGTTAAAATATTAAGAAATGATATAAAAAGGAAGAAAAGCAAGAGTCCAGTAGGTATTACCCTCTTTTTATGATTATATATGATATTTGGATAAAAACTTTTCTAAAGTTTAAGCAATTTGATGCTATTTTTCACACAGGAAATTCTCAAAGATTTCTCAGAAAGTGAGTTTCCTAGCATAAAGACTGAATTTCAACAAGTACTAAGTAATAAAAAGGAAATGACACAGTTTTTGGAAGAGTGGTTAAATACTCGTTTTGATATAGAAAAGCTCAAAAATGGCATCCAGAAAGAAAATGATAGGATTTGTCAAGTGAATAACTTCTTTAATAACAGAATAATAGTAAGTATTACTTTTTCTGTACTACCTCTTTTTTGTTGTCGTTTGCTTTAATTGTCCTACCTCATTCTTAAAAGGGCAAATTATATATGTTTTCTTTATTTGTATATGCTTTAAAAAATTGATTTGGTAAAACATGTTCTTCCTCTAATATATTATTCTTCCTTATCAATTCATACTGATCAAAGTAACAAAATCTTGTTGTGTAATATTCAGTTTCCACTTGTGAAATCTTGAATCCTCTTATTAGTCTCCTCTTTTCCTTCTCCTTCTCACTGCTTCTGCAAGAAATAAGCCTTTTCTACAAGCAGCCTTAGAGATCTTAAGACATAAGTCTGTTTCAAGACTATGGGCAGCAACTGTGGTAAAGTCATAGACAAGCCTGGCCAGCTACTTTAGTTGGGCCTCATGTGCTTTAATAAACTATTTTAGAGCCGTTTTAGGTTCACAGCAAAACTGAACAGAAAGTACAGAGAATTCCTTATACCCCATCTCCACAAACATGATCTCTCCTATCAGTAGCCAACATCAGAGTGGCACATTTAGGACAATCAATGAACCTACCTTGATACATCATATCACCCAAAGTCTGTAGCTTACATTAGGATTTACACTTGGCAAGTACGTTCTATGAGTTACAAGTGTAAAATGACATGTATCCATCATTACAGTATCATGCAGAGTAATTTTACTATCCTGCCCTAAAAATCCCGTACGTTCTATCTATATTCATCACTTCAACTCCCTAAACCCTGGCAACTGCTAATCTTTTTACTGTCTCCATAGTACCACCTTTCTCAGAATGTCATAAGTTGAAATCGTACATATATAGCCTTTTCAGGTTGACAGCTTTCACTTAGTAATATTTATTTATGTTCTCTCCATGGCTTTTCATGGCTTCGTAACTTATTTATTCTTAATGCTGAATAATATTCCATTGTCTGTATTTACCTGTTTATCTACTCACCTACCAAAGGATATCTTGGTTGCTTGTATGTTTTGGCAATTATGAATTCAGCTGCTATAAACATATATGTGCATCTTTTTCTGTGGACATACATTTTCAACTAACTTGAGTAAATATCAAAAAATGCAATTTCTGGATCATAGTAAAATTAGTTTTTTAAGAAACTGCCAGTCTTCCAAAGGGGTTGTACCATTTTACACTCCCACCAGCAATGAATAAAATTCCCATTGCTCCACATCCTCATCAGCATTTGCCTTTGTCAGTTTTGGATTTTGACCATGCTAGTAAGTGTGTAGTAGTATCTCATTCAATTTGCAATTCTCTAATAATATGATGTTGAACATTTTTTATAGTTATTTGTCATCTGTGTATCTTTTTTGGTGAAGTGTCTGTTCTGGTCTGTTGCCCATATTTTAGTCAAGTTATTTTTTTTTCTCATTGTTAAGGTTTAAGAATTCTTTGTATGTTTTGAATACTGGTCCTTTATTTCTGTCATAGATTTTAGATACAAACTCAAAGGCATAATCTAGTGCCTTTGAGTTTGTATCTAAAATCTCATCACAAAACCCAAGTTCATCTAGATTTTCTCCTATGCTGTCTTCCATAGCTTTTGTTTTACATTAAAATCTGTGATCCATCTTGGATTAATTTTTCTGAAATGCATAAGGTCTGTCTGGTTTTTTTGGCACCATTAGATTGTCTTTGCTAGGTCATTGACAAAGGTCAGTGATCATTTGACTATGTGGGATCTATTTCTGAGCTATTTCATTCCATTGATCTATTTCCTCTTTCATTAATAACAAATCTGGAAACAATAATGATTTTTATAGTAAATCTGGAAGTCAAGTAATGTCAGTTCTCTGAAGTCATTCTTCAACGTTGTGTTGGTTATTCTGAGTCCTTTGCCTCTCCATATAAACTTTGGAATTAGTTTATCCCTATTCACAAAATAACTTGCTATGGTTTTATTAGGATTGCATCTAATTTATAGATGGAAAGAACTGACATCTTGACACTATTGTATCTTTTTATCCATAAACGTGGAATATTTCTCCATTGATTTGATTCTTTGTTTTGTTTTGTTTTTTTAATCAGAGTTTGGTAGTTTTTCTCATAGATCTTGCATGCATTTGTTAGATTTGCCTAAGTATTTTATTTTGGGGGGTGCTGCTATAAATGGTAATGTATTTTTGATTTCAAATTACACTTGCACAGTCCTGGTATACAGGAAAGCTGTTAACTTTGCATATTGACTTTGTATCCTGCAACTTTGCTATAGTTGCATATTAGTTCCAGGAGTATTTTAGTTGATGACTTCAGATTTTCTATGTGGATGATCATGTCATGTGTGAACAAAGAGAGTTTTGTTAGTTTTATTTCTTCTTTACAAATTTGTGTACCTTGATCTTATGGCAGTAGTTTGGACTTCTAGTACAGTGTTGAATACCAGTGATCAGAGGAGACATCTTGCCTTGTTTCTGATCATAGCAGGAAGGCTTCTGTTTCTCATTGTTAACTATCATGTTAGCTGTAGTTTTTTTGTAAATATTCTTTATCACGTTGTAGAGGTTCATCTGTATTGCTGAGAGCTTTAAATCATGAATGGGTATTGGATTTTAACATGTTTTTTCTGCATCTATTGATATGATTATGTGATTTTTCTTCTTTTGCCTGTATGATGAAATACATTAATTGATTTTTGAATGTTATACCAGACTTGCATACCTGGGATAAGCCTCATTTGGTCCTGTATAATCTTTTATGCATGATCAGATTTGATTTCCTAATATTTTGTTGAGGATTTTTACATCTATTTTTATGAGAGATACTGGTCTGTAGTTTTCTTGTATAATGTCATCATCTGGTGTTTAGTGTTAGGATAATGTCGACATCATAGAATGAGTTAGGAGGTGTTTCTTCTGTTTCTCTCTTCTGGAAGAGATCATAGAGAATGGGTAAAATTTTTCCCTTAAATTTCTTAAATATTTGGTAGAATTCATCATTGAACTCATCTGGACTTGATGCTTTCTGTTTTGGAGGTTTTTAATTATTGACTCCATTTCTTTGATAGATATAGGCCTAATCAAACTGTCTCTTCTTGTGTATTGGTAGATTGTGTCTTTCAAAGGGTTGGCCCATTTCATTCAGATTATCAACTTTGTGAGTTGTTCATAATTGTGGATTGTAATAATTGAATTGTTCACAATATTTTGGAATGTCCATGGGCTCCATAGTGATATCCTTTTTCTTAGATTGCCTAGTTAGAAGGTTATTAACTTTATTGATCTTTTCAAAGAACCAGTTTTTAGGATTTTTATTTTCTCTATTGATTTTTTGTTTAAGTTTCATTGATTTCTGCTTTAACTTTCATGATTTCTTCTGCTTACTTTGGATTTAATTTGCTGTTCATTTTTAGTTTCCTAAGATTAAAGCCTCATTTATTGATTTTTAGATCTTTCATCTTTTCTAATACATGTATTCAATGCTATAAATTTTCTTCTAAGCACTGTTATTACTGCATCCCACAGATACCGATAAGTCATATTTTTCTTTTCATTTAGTTCAAAATACATTTTAATTTCTTTTATTTCTCCTGTGACCCGTATGTTGTTTAGAAGTGTATTGTTTAAATCTCTATTTGTGGATTTTTTTCAACTGTTTTTGATTTCTAGTTTAATTCCATTGTAGTCTGAGAGCAGACATGTTATGATTTCTATTGTTTGTTAAGGGGCGTTTTGTGGTCCAGAATGTTATCTGTCTTGGCAAATATTCAATGTGTGTTTGAGAAGAATATATAATGTGCTGTTGTTTGATGAAGTAGTCAATAGATGTCAATTGCATCCATTTGATTCATGATACTGTTAAATTCAACGATGTCCTTACTGATTTTTCTGCCTGGTGGATCTGTCCACTTCTGATAGTTATTTAAGTCTCCAACTATAATAGATTGATCTATTTCTCCTTGTAGTTTTATCAGTTTTTGCCTCAAGTATTTTAATGCTTTTTTGTTAGGTGCATGCAAAATAAAAATTGTTATGTCTTATTGGGGCATTGATGCCTTTATCACTATGAAATGTCACTTTTATCCCTCATAGTTTTCCTTGCTCTGAACTCTGCTATGTGTGAAATTAATAGCACTACTTCATCTCTTTTGACTAGTTTTAATGTGGTGTATCTTTCTGCACCGCTTTACTTTCTAATCTGTGTCCCTTTATATTGAATGGGTTTCTTGTAGACAGTATACAGTCAGCTCTTGTTTTTTTGATCTGCTTTGACAGTTGGTCTTTTAATTGGTATATTTAGATCATTGACATTTAAGGTGATTACTGATATAGCTCGATTAATATCTACCATATTGTTTCTGTTTTCTGTTTTTGCCCTTATTCTTTGTATTTTTGTCTTCTGCATTTTTTTCTGCCTTTCATGGTTTTAATTATTTTATGATTCCATTTTCTCTGCATAGCATACAAGTACACTTCTGTCTTGTTTCAGTGGTTGCTCTTGAGTTTGCAATATCCATTCACAACTAATCCAAGTCCAGTTTCAAATAACACTTTCCACTTCACAGATAGTATAAGTACCTTATAATAACAAAATATTTCTAATTTCTCCTTCCCATCCTTTGTATCATTGCTGTCATTTATTTCACTTATTCGTGATTGCATAAGTTAGCTCAGTTGAGAATAAGAAAATAAGTTTTTGTTTTACCTTCACTTATTCCTTCTCTGGTACTCCTCCTTTCTTTATGTAGATCTGAGTCTGAGTATATCATTTTCCTTTCCTCTGAAACACTTCTTTTCAACATTCCTTGCAAGGCCAGTCTACTGACAACAAATTCCCTCAATTTTTGTTTGTCTCAGAAAGCCTTTATTTCTACTTCACTTTTGAAGAATAATTTTACAAGGTATAGAATTACAGGTTGGTATGTTTTTTCATTCCACTGTCTTCTAGCTTGCATAGTTTCCAAGAAGTCAGATGTAATTCTTGTCTTCACTCCCCTATAGGTAAGGTATTTTCTCCCTTCTATCTACTTCAAAGATTTTTTTTTTTCTGAAGTTTGAATGTAATATGCTTAGATATAGGTTTTTGTTGTTGTTGTTCTTTATTTTTTGTTTGTTTTTGTTTTTGTCCTGTTTGGCATTATGAGTTTCCTGGATTCCTGGTTTGGTGTATATTGTTAATCTGGGGAAATTCTTGTCATTATTACTTCAAGTATTCCTGCTCTTTCTTTTTCTATTTTCCTGGTATTCCCATTATGTATACATTACACCTTCCATACTTGCCCCACAGTTCTAGGATGTTATGTTTAGGGTTGTTTTTTTTTTTTTCCAGTCTTTTTACTCTTTGCTTTTCAGTTTTGGAAGTTTCCATTGTCATATTTCTAAGTTGAGTTTCTTTCTTCAGCCAGTCTACTAACAAACTCTTCAAAGGCATTCTTCATTTCTGTTAACAGCATTTTTGATCTCTTGCATTTCTTTAATTTTGTTCTCAAAATTTCTATGTCTCTTACATTGTTCATTTGTTCTTGCATGTTGTCTACTTTTTTCACTAAAGCCCCTAGCATATTCATCAATTTTTTAAAACTTTCTGGTCTGATAACTAATGTTCATGCCATTTCTGACTCTGGTTCTGATGCTTATTCAGTCTTTTCAAACTGTGTTTTTTGCCCTCTAGTATGTCTTGGAATTTTTATTTTGCTGAAAAGCAGGTATGATTCACTGGGTAAAAGTAACTGTAGTAAACAGACCTTTAGTAGTATAGTGGCAAGGTGTAGATGGCAGGTGGCAGGTGCAGTGGATTTCCCTGCTTTCACATGGAAGGCAAGAGCCAGCTGAAACTTAGTATTTCCCCCTTTATATTAGGCTCTGATAAAACCCCAGCATGACAGGCTCTGGTAAAATAGTTTCTGCTGAGGGCAGGCCTTAAAAAAAAAGAGAATGTTCTCTTTTATTTCAAAATGGTTCCTCTTCTCCTCTCCTGCCAGGCTCGCAAAGGGACTTTTCCAATATTAACTGTGATGACCTGGTAAACCTCCTGAAGGTAAAACACAAAAGTGTGGGGACCACTGTATGACTAGGCACCCCTGAAGTTTTTAACTCTCAGAGTTGCCACACTGAGCTCTAATAATTCATTGTTGCATTCAGGTTTTCCTATCCCATAACTGGTTCCTACAAAGGTTTCTGTTAAGTTCTGATTGCCTGTATCTTCCCCTCTGTCTCTCCAATTTTGGGAGCATCCCTGTGCCCTGCAGCCTCACTGCTCTGACGGATCTAAGCAGAGTTGTGGATTTTTCCATTTGTTTTGCTTTTTCCTTGTTAAAATGGACTGGCAACTTCTAAGCACCTAAAATACTAAACTAGAAACTCCAGAATTGTGACTTTTTTTAAATCATTGTTCCCAAGGTGATCAGCACAAATGTACTGAGTCATAAAGACCAACATTGCTTAATACCAGTTTGTTAACTTGTTTTACATTTCAGTGATTGGTATTAGGTTGGTGCAAAAGTAATCGTGGTATTCATCCTGCTTTCAGAAATAATCCCTTCTCTGTATAATAGATAAAACTTTAATATTCAAAAGATTGCTCTTTTAAATTGGAGCAATGGTAGCTAGATTAATATTATAGCTTTCAAGATACATTTTGTATTTCATATGTTTGTGTAGTTCTTTTCTCACAATTTAATTTCATCTGTGAATTATATTGGAATCATATCAAAATAAGGAATGACACCTTTTAAAAAAGTTTTTCCATGGAGAGTTCATCCCATTTATTGATTAGCCAGAGCTAGCAAAATAGGAGTTGGCTATTTCAAGAAAAAAACAAAAAAGGTCAGTAGAGAAAGGCATACAACCCATGTTTGGATAATATAATCTCTATTTATAATTCAATGTTTTTCTTATAATATTGAGGATCCAGTTGTGATTAGAGAGTAGATATTTCTATTGTGTGGATCAGCATGAGCATGTATATGTGGCTTCTTCCAGCACATAAGAGTAGGCATTAAGAATTTGGTATGGTGTGAGGTCAGTAGTCCAGAGTCAAGGAGTGTCCAGGATGTCAAGAACACAATGAATTTAAGATCTGAGACTGGTAGAATGACCACAAAGCCACAACGAAGTTACGGTTGAGACCAATAGGGCAATCATGATGAGAGCAGAAAGTACAATCTTTATGAATTAGGAAATAAAGAAATCAGTAATTTCAGAATTAGCCTTCAATATAAGAGTACTGTTATTCCCTGTACAGAAATATAAGATATCAGATTAATTACCAACAATCGGTAAGTTATTTTCCCTATTAACATTGAGGTTTGTAATGAAGCAGGAAAATAGATCATTGTTAACTTTCTAGCTGTGCTATTAGACATCAGTTAATGTTTCATTATCAGCCATAGCATATATAATTTTAACCTGTGTAATTCTTCAAGTTCTCTTCCTATGTTAGTACAAATGTAATAAAGTGAAATTATCATCTTGCAAATCAATATGAATCCTCTCTAGTCACTATTTTATTATGACATACTACATACTTAGCACTATGTTAACTAATAAATCATATAACCACTGTGCTTTATTGTCATCCACATCCAACATCTGAAATTTCAGAAACTGATGCAAACTACAAAGAATGTTCAAATTCTCTTAAAGCACTATTTTAGAATGTTCTAAACAATGAATGTCAGTATATATACTGTCCTAGAATTTTAGGTTTCTTTTAAATATGTATATCAAGATCCCTCATCCCCTGAGTGGATGCCTAAAACCATGGATGGTACCAAACCCTATGTATTTTGGATTTTTTTTTTTTTTTTTTTTGGTGGAAAAGCGACTTATTAGAGAAAGAAAGACAGCTTCCACGCTGTCATAGGAGGGGAATATTCTGTTTTTTCTATACACACGTATCTATGATAATGTTTAATTTATAAATTAGGCACAGTAAGAGATTAACAACAACTAATAGAACAATTATAACAATATACTATAATTAAAGTGATAGAAATATGGACTCTCCCAAAATATTTTACTGTACTCTTTCTTATGATGTGAGATGATACGATGCCTGCCGATAAGATGAAGGAATATGAATGACATAGACATTTTGATATAGTCTTAGACTGCTATTGACCTTCTATATTCCTGAATCCATGAATAATTCTTACTTGAAGTAAAGGGCGTGATGTCACTTTTTTCAGGAGATCCCTTGCTGAAGTCTTCACAGATGCTCAATGCTTGCTGGTACAACACACTGTCATCAGTTGGAACACATTTCTGTTCTTGTCTTCCACCACAAATTTAATGCCATTTCTAGCTTAGCTAAGAACTTATCACACACTGTTGTAGGTTGAAATGCTACAGCAAAAACACTATGAATTTCTCTTTCCTTCTTCACAATTTCGTAGATTCATTCTAACCATAGATCTTAGAAACCTCAACATAAGTTTTTTTTTCTTATTGAGAACTTTTACCTTTTTAATTAAAAGAAACAGTTGACAGCTTCACAGTGGCATATCTAAATTGCCAGCATTACTACTCTTGTGCTTTGAGGCCGTTATTAAGTAAAATAAGGGTTACTTGAACATAAGCACTGCAATACAGCAGCAATCAGATAATCAAGGTGGCTATCTAGTGACTAATGAATGAGTAAGTAGTGTGTACAGCATGGACATGCTGAACAACAGGATGATTTACATCCCAGGCAGGACTGAGCAGGATGACTCAAGATTTCACTGTGCTACTCAGAATGGTGTGCAATTCAAAACTTGTGAATTGCTTATTTCTGGAATTTCCCATTTAATATTTTAAGACCACTTTTGACTGAGGGTAACTAAAACCATGGGAAGTAAAATCGCAAATAAGTGGGGACTACTATAAATCGTTTTAGACATAATGATATTTTAATATTCAATAGGCAATAATGAATGAATCAACAGAGTTTGAGGAAAGAAGTACTGCCATATCCAAAGAATGGGAACAGGATATGAAATCACTGAAAGAGAAAAATGAAAAACTATTGAAAAACTACCAAACATTGAAGACCTCCTTGGCATCTGGTGCCGAGGTTAATCCTACCATGCAAAACTATAAGAATCCTCATGTTACATCAAGAGCTACAAAGTTAACCACAGAGGTATATAATTTCTTATAAAATGTTCTTTAATTTGCAGCTTCATTAGAGTTTAGAGCAAAATTATAGTATTGGATATACTTATTACCAAACATGAATACATTTATTGTTGTGTGTGATGGGCTTGTTTTTTATTAGTAGTTCTGTGGCTGTCATTCAACTAAACTAATTATAAAGCTAGACATTATTAAGATCTTATCTTTGAATTATGCAACAGATAAATCATACCTTCATTTGGTTATTAAATTTATAAAATATAGTTTAAGTTGCTACCACTTAAGGTATAATTACCATATAAGTTTTCCAAAGCATGTGACTTTCTATTAAACTGTGATCTATGTCCGCATGCAGAACAAATATTAGCTTGGAAAGAAATAGCAATTTAGCTTTTCTCTTATTATCATCAGCATATTTAATATTGCTTAATGTTATAATCACAATAAAAATTTAAGAGGTTAAAAATATAACAAGATTGTTATGCAGATTAATTTGTGTCTAAGAACCAGTACCTTATTTGAATGATCCAGTTTATTAACTACTCTTAGTCGGGAGTCTAACAACACGTGGAAAGTGTTGTATTTTATTAGCACACAAAATGGTTTAGTGGGGAACCCAACAGCAAATTACAATTTATCATTTTTACCAAAATAAATACTTGTAATAAAACATGAACCACCAACTTAATGAAAACTAGAAGATCACTAGTATACAGTGTTTTGATTTGCTGGTCATTACAGAACTCAGTGAACTGGTAGAGATAAAATAGAGGAAATATGAAATCCATCTACCAAAATAATAATTAAAGAAAAAAACAAAAGGAAAGTCAATCTTCAATGACCCAAGAAAATAGCCTAACAGATAATAAAATATATGCAGGCAGATGAACTGAGGTCAGGAATTCGATACCAGCCTGGCCAGTGTGGTGAAACCCTGTCTCTACTAAAAATACAAATATTAGAAATTAGCTAGCTATGAGGGCACACACCTATAGTCCCAGCTACTAGGCAGGCTGAGGTAGGAGAATCGCTTGAATCCAGGAGGTAGAGGTTGCAGTGAGCCAAGGTCGTGCCACTGCAATCACTATGGGCAATAGAGTAAGACCCCTTCCCAACAAAAAAAAGAAAAGAGAAGATTAATGAAAGTAAGGGGAAAGATAAGTTACATATATTTACTTTAGAGAGTCAAATATCACTACTTTTTTTGTGTGTTTGTTTAAAATATGAGTGCTATTTAATATACTTAGTACTATGCTAACTAATAAATCACATAACCACTGTGCTGCTTTCAACTGCATGTTTTAAGTATTTGCAGACAGAGTATAATATAAACTTTTGGCATTTTCAATCCAAAAATCATCATCTAAATGAAGGAAATAACATGTCTGTAGATTGAATGCTGTTTGGCCTCTTTTTGCTATCCTTTGTTAATACAATCTGTGAAAAATTAACGATATCTAAATATGATCATCTCTGTCTCAAATTTGTATACTGTGATTCTGTGTTCATGATAGAGCTTATGAACATGTGCTTTTTCTAATAGAAAATTCAGGAGCTGGAAACTTTATTACGTGAAGCTAAAGAAAGTGCTATGCATAAGGAAAGCAAGATTATAAAGATGCAAAAAGAACTTGAGGTGGCTAATGACATAATAGCAAAACTTCAAGCCAAAGTTAATGAATCAAATAAATGCCTTGAAAAACAAAAAGAAACAATTCAAGTACTTCAGGTAACTTAAACATAAAAATAAAAGTTGTTTGTTTGTTTGTTCAACCTACTGAATTCGGAAAATATCTTGGTGATCTATTCTTCCCTATCAACACAACTTTCTATTACCTATGTGTATCTGAAGTTCAATACTCAAGAAGAAGCAATGTAACTTAGAAGTGAAATGGAAGAGCATATTGTCATGTAAAATATTATTTTTATCATGTTGGAAAAATAATTTTTTAAAGACATGTTCTTTATACTTTAAAGTGTATTTTTTTGTTTTTCAAAAAAATTGCTTATCAAAATATGTAATACTATCAGATACATTTTTAAATTATTTTCTTTCTACTTACTGCCCCTGTTACTGAGTCTCACCTGATGTCCTGTGGTCTGAATCTGACCTGTTTTGGGGGGAAGAACTGTAATTTAAATGTTTTTCAACTTGAATGTCATTAGACAAATCACATACTCATTCATCACTATTTACAGCTCCCTTTTCTTTTAGTTCCAGACACTTCTCCTATTTCTGCTACTTGAATCTGATCTGAACTGGCATATTTAAATTTGCTGTTCTGCTCCAGTGTCTCTTCACACCAGTTAAAATTAGGAACAGGTCAAGAATGCCTGCTTTTTTCATTATTTAACATTGTTCTAAACTTCTGGTCTATTCAGTGAGACATGAGCAGAGAGCAAGAGAAAATACTAATTTTGTTTTTAGAGAATTGTTGGTATAGCTAGAAACTAAGGAATTTCAACTGTAACATTTTAGAATGTTGTAATTTTTTAATATTACAAATAATTGATCACAGTTTTTATTCAACAAATATTTGCTGAGCACTCTCTATGTGTCACTCACTGTTATAGATGCCAGTGAAAAACACAGAGTCTGTGCCGTCAAGGAACTTACATTTATTTGAAGGAGACAGAAAATTAATTAAAAATGTAAAATATAGAAGGTATATCTTTATGTATGAATTAAGAGGTATATATCTCAAGTGGCAAAAAGTGAAATGGAAAAAAATTAAGCTAGATAAGGGAGTACATGGTTCTGGGTGAAGGTGGACATGTGTGGGAAGAGATATAATTATATATAGGAGGGTTGGGGAACATCACACCAGTAAGATGATCTGAAGGAAGTGGTAGGGTGACTATGTGGCCAGGGAGAAATGTTCCAGGCAAAGGAAATAGCAAACTGAAAACAACAAGAAAGTTAGGGTATCCGGAGCAGAATGAGCAAGAGGATAGAGAAAATAAGGTAAGAAGTAGCAGAGGCCAGATCATAAAGTTCCTGTAAGCTATTTTAAGAACTCTGCTTTCTATTCTGGGTGGGATAGATCCAAGGCTTCTCAATGGGAAAAGGAGAGTCTGATCAACTAATGATGCTAGACAACCAAACATCCACAAGCAAAAAAAGACACAGAACTTATAATTTTCAGAAAAATTAACTTAAAATGGATCATAGACATAAATGTAAAATGCAAAACTAGAAAACTCCACAAATATGACATAGGAGAGGTTCTAAGTGACCTTGGCTTTTGTGATTTTTTTAAGATATAATACAGTAAGTACAATCCATAAAGAAAAAAGTCTGGTAAGTTGGATTTTAATGAGACTTAAACTTCTGCTTTGCATGATGCTGTTAAGAGAATAAAGAGAAGCCACAGACTGGCAGAAACTATACACAAAAGATGAATCTGGTGATGGAATATACAAAGAACTCTTAAAACCAGCAATAAGAAACAAATAACCAGTCTCAAAATAGGCAAAAGATATGAACAGACATCTTACCAGAGAAGATATGCAGATGACAAATAACCATATGAAAAGACGCTTCACATCATATGTCATTAGAGAATTACAAATTAAAATAATAGACCATTACAAACTTACCAGAATAGCCAAAATCCAAAACTCTGACAATACCAAATGCTGATGTGTGGAGCAACAGGCAATTAATAACAATTAATTGCTGGTGGAAATGCAAAATGCTACAGCCATTTCAGAAGACGGTTTGGCAGTTTCTTACAAAACTAAGCATACTTCTATGATCAAGCAGTTGTGTTCCTCAGTATTTACTCAGATGAGCTGAGAATGTATGTTCATACAAAGGGCTGTATGTTAATAGCTGTATTCATAATTGCCAAGACTTAGACACAACCAAGCTATCTTTTAGTGGGAAAAGGGATAAACTGGTACATTCATACAGTGGAATATTATTCAGCAATTAAAAGAAATGAGAGGGCCGGGTGCAGTGGCTCATGTCTGTTATCCCAGTACTTTGTTTGGAAAGCTAAGCAGTCAGATCACCTGAAATCAGGAGTTTGAGACCAGCCTGCCCAACATGGTGAAACCCTATCTCTACTAAAAATATAAAACATTAACTAGGCATGGTGGTGAGCGCCTGTAGTCCCATCTACTCGGGAGGCTGAGGCAGGAGAATTGCTTGAACCTGGGACACAGAGGTTGCAGTGAGCCAAGATTGTACCACTGCACTCTAGCCTGGGCAACAAGAGCAAAACACCATCTCAAAAAAAAAGAGAAAGAAATGAGAGGGCCTTACATACATATTGCTTAGTGAAAGAAGTCAATCTGAAAAGTCTACATACTGTATGATTTCAAGTGTATGACATTTTTAGAAAGGCAAAACTACAGAAACAGTAAAAAGATTAGCAGTTGCCAGGGATAATGGAGAAGAGAGGGATGAATAGGCAGAGCCCGGGGATTTTTAGGACAATGAAAGTATTCTGTATGATACCATAATGATGGACATGTGTCATTTTACATTTGTCAAAACCCACAAAATGTAGAATACAAATAAACTGGCATGCAAATTATAGATTTTAATTAATAATAATGTATCAGTGTTAGTTCACTTATAACAAATGTACCATACTAATGCATGATGTGTTAATATGGGGACAAAGGAATAGGGGACACTGGATATATAGGAACTCTCAGTATTTTCCATTACGTTTTTCTGTAAACCTGAAATTGCTGCTTTAAAATGTTGTTTTACATCACTGGATGGAACTATGTTTCAGTACAAAATATACCTAGTAATGCTTTTTTTGTGACTTGAATTTAGTTCTAGTTTGATGTTTACATCACTGCTCCAACATCTTTTTGTTTCATTTTCTGATTTACTTTTTCCACCCATTTCATTATTCTCAACCTATTTCACTTTATAGATATTTTCAATTGGAAAAAAATAAATATTTTAAGAAATAAAAATCATGTTTCTAATTATAAAAGCTTCAAATAAAAATTCATGCTTCTAATTTCATATTAGCTTCAAGTAGACTTCATATCAATATCTACATATTCAGTTAAAATTTATGCATTTTCCTATATTTGCTATTTTTAAATGTCATCAAAGCAAAAATAGTTAACCATTCCTTAAAACTGGAGAAATTGAAGCTGCTCTAATTATTATTTTTATTTTCTCTAAAAAAAAAATTAGGAAAAAGTTGCTTCAGGAGCTAAGCCATATAAAGAAGAAATTGAAGATCTCAAAATGAAGCTCATGAAAATAGACCTAGAGAAAATGAAAAATGCCAAAGAATTTGAAAAGAAGTATGTATTTGTCTTAATTGAATGTGATTTTAATAGCTTAAATTTTCTTCCTAAATTACATACACTTTTCAGTAAACTTTTTAAAATACAATTTATGAAAATATTGTTAGTGTTCTTTTTTAAAAAATATAAACATCCACAAATTCTAAATATACTAAAGTCTCATTACAAATGCAAAGTTTTTAAAACTAAGCACAATTCTGATCAATTAACACAGTCTTTGAACACTTCATCAGTCATGTATAATATAAACAATTTTAAGTTGCTTTTTGATGCCTGATAGTGAATATTGAGAGAGAGACAGAGAGAGACAGAGAGAGACAGAGAGAGAGAGAGAGAGAGAGAGAGAGAGAGAGAGAGAGAGTGTGTGTGTGTGTGTGTGTGTGTGTAGCAGTTTGACAAAGGTTTCTGTTGGTTCTCTTAATTTCATTTGTTGTTACTGTGTTTTTGTGTAAAGGTTATATTTCCTTTTAGTTTATAGTTGCCTAGAGCTCAAGAGCAAATCCTCTTTTTATTGATTTATAGGTAGCATTATAACAGCATGCCTAAATTCTTTGTGGTATAGCATAATGAAAAGAACATAAAACAGAGAGTCAAGGAAACTGAATTAGAAATATGTTCTCACTTACTAATGCATCACCTTACACTATTTATTCTCTCTGGTCCTTTCTTTCATAATCAATAAGTAAAGATTTATATTAGAGGATTTGTTAAGATGCCTTCTGGGTCTTAATACTTTTCATTCATCCTATAAATCTTGAATAAATATTTAATGATCTCTTATTTTGCCCAGGAAGTAGCACTCAGAATTTTCATGCTCTTTAAACAGCCTATTGGTTTTAGTGAAGCATATATCTATTAGGTTCTTAAGTATGAAAGCAATTTTACTTATAGAATAGGGTCACCAGATACATTCATAGTCATTAAGTTATCATTGCTGATTAATGCCTAAACTAACGACTCATAAAATGTCCCTTTCTACTGGAGAACAAGTGATCGACTTTGACCTTTGTAGCATCTTAGACCAGCGCTGCAGACAGGGTTTGCCTTCCTGACCATGTAGAAAGAAAGCTGCACTTTCTTTTTCATGCTTCTGGTAATTATACCTTCAGGATATTTCTAGGACTCCATGGTAAAAAAATAATTATGTAATTATAATTTTGTTCAATATCCAATGAATAGCTATTAGGCTTCCATAGGTTTAAAAGAACTGGTTTCTCAATATAAGAAAATCAGACTGTCCTTGCACCCGAGCAGAATGCTTCTAATTTGATGGCATTAGTGCCATAAGAAGTATGACACCTGAGAGATATCATGAGGGCTTATCTACTGCCACTTATAGGCGTTATGTCAATGTGATGTATTTGAAACTCCTTCACAGCAGTTCTGTTTATTCCCCTGTAAAAAATTAGTTGCTGAACTTTTTACATATTTTTATTGTTCTTGTTAGAATCACTGCTGTAAAAGCCACTGTGGAACATCAAGAAGAAGTGATAAGGCTATTGAGAGAAAATCTCAGAAGAAGTCAGCAGGCCCATGATACCTCAAGTAAGTAGAAAATGCAGACATTCTCAGATCCTTTAAATTTTGCTTCTCAACACACAGCAGACTTTGAAGATTACTATTATGCATGTGACAGTCAAGAGTAAACAGAAGTTGACCACTAATCTATTTTTAAATGAATTTATTGGAACCGTATTTCCTGTGACATCTTAGTTACAGTTAGCTGCTTATCCATTATAGATTCTTGAAAAATATGAACCCTGCTTTTGTATTATCAATTCTTTATCTAAGAGTGAAGATACCTTCAGACAATAAAAGAATGACTTAACTATCAACATAGAAGTATGCTTCCCAACTTCTATGAAACACATCTTCATAGATTTTAATTGTATGCATCTAATAATTTATAATTGGTGCACAGTAAAAATAAATATTCTGTTCTTAAAACCAAATATATCAATTTAATATTTACTTGCAAAGGTCTTTGAAATTTATCTGAGATATACTTTTTAGATCTGTTGGTCAAATTTCTCAATATACATGCAGTCCTCAAACTACCTTTTTCATATTTCTGTCTGTCATATTCTGAATGAAATGAAAGAATGCTTGACCAGTACTTGGGATAGCTTTGCTCAGTAGAACAAGTACTGAACTAAGTCAGGTACAGATCTCACTTAATGGCTATGTGAAATCATGGAGTTAACACCTAACCTTCTAATTTCTATATGTATATATACTTATAAGTATATGCTTTTATATACACACACATATATATATATACTTATATGTATATACACACACACACACACACATATATATACTTACTAACTTATTAACAAGTAACCCTTGACTTCTGCCTTCTATCTTACTCACCTGGCTTATTTTACCAACCATCAATTCTAAATGCCTCTAGAATCCCCCTCAATTAATTACACACACACACACACACACTCTCTCTCTCTCTCTCTCTCTCTCTCTCTTTCTCTCTCTCTCTCTCAGCTCAAACCAAAAGTTGTGGGTAAAAGCACATTGAAAATTCCAAATACTAAGCAAAACATAAGATGATATTTGCTTATATTATCGTCCATGTGTTTAAAAAAAAAATAGAGATGGTGGTGCTAAAGATGTTAAAGTGTTGCCTAGTACCTATTGTAGCTTAAACTTACCTAGTGTCTGTTACAGGATAACCACAGCTCCTACCAGGAAAACTTAAAGGGGTAAAAATAGAAGTGAGGATTCTTTGTTTCAGGAGGTTGAGGATAGTTACACTTGATTTGTAGATGACTTTCAGGTATGTAGTGTAACTGAATTCAAAATAAAATAGACATTGAGAATCACCTCCCACACACACTATCCCTCTTTTGTGAATTCCCAGTGACCTAAAGGATTAATCCACTTCCTAACTACCTCATATTTTTATGCAACTTTGCCTACAATTTATAAAACACAGTTTCTTTACACACATAGTGTAGAATATTTAACATGTGCTTTAATATTCCAACATATATTTAGTTAATAAACATGTATTGAATATATATAATGCACTGAGTGGTGAGGTGGACCTCCCACTATACCTCACCTCTTGGCCACGCACACACTGTGTTGTAACAAGCCCTCCAGGGGAAAACTGATGTGGAAGATGTAGATCAATGAAGGGCAGCTGTAAGTGGAGATGATTGCTATTGCTGCAGTCAGGGTGAAAGATCTTGGTGATCTGGATATGTTATTGGAATTGGTTAAAGGGAATTCTAGAAGCATTTAGAATTGATAGTTGGTCAAATAAGCAGAGGGAGTAAGGTAGAAGGTGGAAGTCAAGGATGACTTCCAGGAAAATAACACTTGAGGTGTTTGGGTCTCTATGATGGCTTATTGTACTTAGTAGTGTTTCCTTTATTTTGAACTTTGGAGACAATTAAAATTATCACCTATTTGTGTATTTGCCTCCCACAGTGATATCAGAACATACTGATTCTCAGCCTTCAAATAAACCCTTAACGTGTGGAGGCGGCAGTGGCATTGTACAAAACACAAAAGCTCTTATTTTGAAAAGTGAGCATATAAGGCTAGAAAAGGAAGTTTCTAAGTTAAAGCAGCAAAATGAAGAGCTAATAAAGCAAAAGAATGAATTGTTGAGGTAAGATTTGCTTATATAAGACAGATATTATGCTTATGGCTATTTTACATATCTAGGATATGGTATATGCACATATTTTTTGCAGGTGGTAACCCTTTACTCATTATGGGGAAAGTAATTTTTATAGCTCATATAATTTTTTTTTTTTTTTAATTAGAATACTGTGGCTCTATTACAATATTTGCTGTCTGTCAACTGACCTATTCTTAACTAAGCCAAGAAACAGGAAATCAACAAAGACCTTTAAGGGGGTAGCTGACATACACAAGTCCATATACCCAAGCCAGTGAGGCTTTACTTAGAGAAGAACTCCTTACATTCATTATTGTAGGTTTTTAACTTTATAAACAGATCTAACAAATTATTTGGCTTCTACCACAGTGGAAGATTAGAATCTTTTTGCCAAGCATTCTACTATGATATCATAGAAAATAAAAAGCATTAAATAATTTTACAAATAACTAACTCTCTGCCATGAGTGCTATTAGAAACAGAAACAAAAACCAAAAGGACATTATAAAAGAGTTATATTATGAAAGAGATCTAATATTATCTAGGTGTTAGGAGTAGAGGGTTGTTTGATCAGGAAGCCAACAGGCATACCTTGTTTTACTGCCCTAATCTATGTACTGTATACACTGGGAACCCAAAAGATTTCTGTGATTCACTTTATTGCAGTGATGTGGAACCAAACCCACCATATCTCCAAGGTATTCCTGTATCGGAATAGATCTGAAAAATGAGTAGGAATTAGGCTAGATGAGAGGAGAAGAAGGGTAAGTCTTCCAGGCCAGGGGAACAACATGTTCACAGGCTTTGAGTCAAGAAGAATAACTAATTGGTGGGACTCAAAGACATCCAGTGTGGCCAGGGTGTAGAGAATGAGGCAGAGTAAAGTGCAAGATGAGGTGCCAGAGGTAACTGGATTCAGATTACGCGGGCCGTTATGGGTCATTCGGAAGAATTTGCAGTGGTATCCTAAATAATGGCAGGATTATTGCACTTGAGGGTTTTAAGCCAGTGGCCTGATGAGATCATATAGCATCTTTGGCTGCTAGCATATTATAGAGGGACCCAGTTTTAGAATGTGTTTATGGTAGTTCAGGCAGAAGATAATTTTAGCATGGACTAGGTTGGCTCCAATAGGGATAAAAACAAGGAAATGAATTTGATAGGTAGGATGAGATTGCATGAAGAAACTTGGATGACTGTTAAATAAAAGAGAGTGAGGTCTCTAGGATTGCTTCCCAGGTTTTCTTCTGGAAGAACTGGATAAATGCTCGTAGCATCTCCTGTAAGAAGCAGCACTGTAACTAGAAAAGCACAGTGTAATATTTCTTTTATAGCAAGAACGGTACATCAAAGATTCATCTATCCAAGAGACTAATTCATCAAATTATTTGGTAGCGTATCAATAGATAAGCCACTCTGGATTATGTCATTGATTCATTTGAAAACCTAATGTTGTATTTTGAGTTTTCTTTTCAAGACTCCATGATCATGGAACTTTACTACAGTATTCAATTTATATAGATCTGTTTTGTTTTCTAAACACTGGAAATAGTCAAAACAGGAAGCATGAGGTTAAAATTAAAATGTAAATAGAAAATGGTAAATTTTATATTATATATATTTCATCACAATTTATTTTTAAGTTTTTTTTTTTTTTTTTTTTTTGAGACGGAGTTTCGCTCTTGTTACCCAGGCTGGAGTGCAATGGCGCAATCTCGGCTCACCGCAACCTCCGCCCCCTGGGTTCAGGCAATTCTCCTGCCTCAGCCTCCTGAGTAGCTGGGATTACAGGCACGCACCACCGTGCCCAGCTAACTTTTTGTAATTTTTAGTAGAGACGGGGTTTCACCATGTTGACCAGGATGGTCTCGATCTGTTGACCTCGTGATCCACCCGCCTCGGCCTCCCAAAGTGCTGGGATTACAGGCTTGAGCCACCGCGCCCGGCCTATTTTTAAGTTTTAAATATAAATGTGAATACATCTTAAGAATCAAGAAGGCTTACAGTCTCTCTTTTTTCCTCCACATTAAAGCAATAATCAGCATCTTTCCAATGAGGTCAAAACTTGGAAGGACAGATCCCTTAAAAGAGAGGCTCACAAACAAGTAACTTGTGAGAATTCTCCAAAGTCTCCTAAAGTGACTGGAACAGTTTCTAAAAAGAAGCAGATTACACCCTCTCAATGCAAGGAACGGAATTTACAAGATCCTGTGCCAAAGGAATCACCAAAATCTGGGCTTTTTGATAGTCGATCAAAGTCTTTACCATCACCTCATCCAGTTCGCTATTTTGATAACTCAAGTTTAGGCCTTTGTCCAGGTAAGTAAACATACTAGTTACTTTGAAATCAGAGGGTAACAGTTGGAACTTATCGTTAATATTTGATTCCAAGAGGCAAGTTAGATAAGAGAAGATTTAATTGAGTAAGCTATAATGACAGGCTTCATTTGCTGACTCTGTGTAAGAAAGTTGGTTTCTCCAAGGCACAGCAATGAAGTGTAATCACTTTTAACCCCAAGTGAAATCTTTATTCTACCATTTAAGTGCATAGTTTTGTCCAAAGAGAAACAAGCAACTTTCTCAAGGACATGAAGATAATACTCTAAAAAGAACTTTTACTGATAAGTCTTACCAATTTAATGGACCAAAAGATCCAGTAGCATTATATTCACTTTACTCAAGCCAGATAATAGACTTGCATCATTTACCTATTCATTTATTCAATCAACAAAATTGTTTTTAGCCCCTACTATGTTTTAAGGATTAGATCCTGGTGGCACATTGATAAATAAAGCCAGACGTGTTCCCTGCCTTCATAGAGCTTAATTCTGATGGAAGATACAGACAGTAATAAAGTGGTTAAAAAAAAAAGTGAAATTCTAACAGTGCAAGTGCAAAAGACTATGAGGAACATAATAGGTATGAGGAATATTGAGGAAGGAAACTGAGATCAGATCTAAAAGGTTAACATGAATTCTCTTAAAGAGCAGAGTGAAAAGCATCTCAAGCAGATGGAACAGCGACAGCGTTAGGGTAGCTGGGAATATGACCAGGTGAAGAGTTGAAAGAAATACAGTGTGGTCAGAGCACAGTGAGTACAAGCTCATATGGGTGAAGTCAGTGAGCCCAAAAAGAGATATAAAAGCTGGAAATGCTGGACTTTTGTAAATTGTATAAAGGAATTTTTTTCATTTATTGTGTAGAGGAAGCCTTTGAAAGCTCTTACGCAATGACAGGAAAACATGAGTTACACATTTTGAAAACATCACTCATCTGTAAGGTGACCAAAAAATAATAGGAACAAGAGTTTGACAGTTGTCTGAACAAGACATGATGGTAGTGTGGACTTGGAGTAGAGATGGAGAAAAGTAGACTGATGGGAGAGATTTTAGAGTAAAATCAGCAATACCAGGCACCGGATTGAACAAAGGAGTGAGGAGGTATCAAGGATCACCCCCAGTTCTGCATGGAGGTTGTCCACAGAAGTGGGGGGCCTTGCAGGAGAAACTGAAACACTGCATTTCTTGTAGTTGTTCTCACACCATAGCATCTATTATGCACGGCCTTTTGTGACAATATATCTACCTACCAGAGGTACCCTGTTATGCAACTGTAGAAATCTAAAGCAACAAAATTGTACCCTAAGAAAGGCAGTTGCAAAATCATTTAAACCTTGAGCAATGTTTGCCGGAGTTTATAAACCTCTACTTTGTGATTAAGAAAAAAATCCATCCATTCTCATCAACTATATCAAAATTAGATCAAGTTGACAGTTTAAAAGTGTTCTTAGGGGAGATAGGTAGGCACAAAAACATTTGGGGGAAAAAAGTTTGAAGTATTCTCTTCATTAAGTAGTATTTAACAAACATATAAGGACCTTCTGTTGGCTAGCTAACACTTGCATGGAACTGTCTATGTTGCCCAGGCTGGCCTTGAACTCCTAGGCTCAGGCAATCCTCCCAAGCATCAAGGACTACAAATGCATGCTACCACACCCAGCTGTAATCACCTTTTGATTTTGTCTGCTAGTGCCAGAGGCATATGCATAATGTGAATTCATCAAACTGCAAATAAAAATGTTTGAGTCCTTTTGTTAATACGTGGATCTCGCTGGTACTGTTTTTAGATAAATAAAAGAGTAGCCTAGAGGAATACATAAATCAAAAACTGACCAATTCAGAAATAAAGGAGATAGGCCCAGCTTGCATTAATACCAGTCTTTTAAAAAGTAAATGTAAGTTTGTACTTTTAATTATAAAAGGTAATCTAAATTACCTTAACAAACTAAGGTAATTGCCAAAACCAGTTATACTATATTTACTTTCATAAATATAATAATTGTAAAATGAATACTGTTTATAAGCACACAGATGCAGCTAAAGTCCTTTTTAAAGGATCATAGAAAGCTTTCCAAACTTGGCTAAATATTGTCTAAAATACTATTTGTTTAGCACACTATTTTGAAAAATAGGAAGAAAGAAAATAAAACTCAGTCCATGTTTGGTTCACTTTGAATTTCAAATTGAAGAATTCCCAATAAAACTTTTTACTTCTCAGTTTAACTATGGTTTTTCTAATTGTTCATTTTAAGAAAAAATGGAGAGTAAACTTCTCCAACTCTGAGGTGAAATACACCATCTTCATGACCAAACATGATGAACCATATTGCCATTTGTCATTCTTCACATCTCTCCTAACAGTCCTTTCTACTTCCAGCTGTGTTGGTTTTTGTATATTTTTATAATAGGATTAATGTTTCATTTTCTTTCTCAGAGATACAAAATGCAGGAGCAGAGAGTGTGGATTCTCAACCAGGTCCTTGGCACGCCTCCTCAGGAAAAGATGTACCTGAGTGCAAAACTCAGTAGACTCCTCTCCATCCCTTTTCTGGAGGTCCAGCATTCCTTGTTTGGAAATGACTTTGTTTATATGTCTGTCCCTGGTAATGACGTCATAGTACAGCTTAATTTCAATTCAATCTTTTTACTTTATCACTAGAGTTGAAAGATAAGGGAACAGGAAATGATGCATTGTGGTAATTTAGAATGATGATAGCAATTACCTTCTTCTTGCACATGGTAATACTTTTAAAAGGTGAATTGTTTTATTTATTTGTATATTTTGTAGAGAATAAAGTTATTGAAGGAAATGTAAAGTTAACTACATGATTTAGCATATTCCAAAGCATAATACAGACATTAATATAAAACATTTTATTAACAAAATTCTAAACATTTTTAACACCTTACACATTCAATAAATGTTGAGTAGTTCTGAATCACTGCTCTTCTATATAATGTTAATGGTTTCTTGGTGAGGTAGTCTCTTTTGCTGACTCAGTATTTTGCTATGAATATATGTACACACACTGCTTGGATTTAAATTCTTAAAGGATAGCAGAGGCTATGTCCTCTTAAGTTTCTAGTTCTAATATTCCTTTTACTGTAATAACCACAGAAGTTCTTTCTCACATTTCTGGTAACCTACCTATCCCAATTCCTATACAAACTCTCTAAATTGGTTGGTTTATTATTAGACTTTGTTTTTCATTGCCCCTCACTCTCAGCCTGGAGGAACCTATAGAGCATTTATTCTACCTCTTCATTGTAGACATACAATACCACAGTTTTTATCAAAGTAAAGTTTTCTAAACCTGTAGTCCCCACAGGTATATAAAGCATATATGGATGGGATTCTTGCAATCTGTAAAACTTTTGAAATTTTTTATGAACTTTTTTGTATGGATTTATTTTGGAGGAGGGGTTACTAGGGTTTATACTTTGTTTTATATTCTCAGAGAGGCCTGTGATCCTGTAAAACTCCAAGAACTATGGATTTAGAGGATATTTGATATTTTATACCATAAAACAAGTTGTATACCACTTAAAACAAGTTGCATTAGGTTATAGAACAGAGTCAAAGTGATTTCAAGGCATTCTTGGCTCTTTGGTAAGATGCATTCAAAGGGAGAGATTATTGATTACATCATGTCCAGTATTTTAAAGTCTGTGGATTGGATAATTTCCCTTATTTTAACATAGCACCTAAGGAATTCACTAGGACTAAGTAGAAACTGTCCCTTCCTACAGTCTTTTCCCCCAGACCTGTACCTTGAGAGTCTGTCTTCTGCTTTCTCCCTTATCCAAACAAAACACTAACAGACCTGCAGGTTTGATTCTTTGTCTGTTCCTCCACCGAACAAAAGTAACCCAAAGTAGTGGTTGCATTCACCTGGATGATAAAACTACTTTAAAACCATTGAAAATCTACTAGTTATCAGGTAGCCAGCCTAGTCAAATATTGCTTAACTTTTGAATTTGGGCATCCATTTTCTTCCTTAAATTTGGGAAGTTTGTGGCCATTATTTCTTCAAATAAGCTCTCTCTCCCTTTTGCTTCCACCATTATCCCACACCCTGAACATCTGTTCCCATACATTTTCCCCAGATATCTGCTTGTATAAGTTAGAAAACTCAAAGTGGTTCTTTTGAGTGTCATGAAGCTCCTCATGGGCCACACTTTGTACCTCACATTAGGGATCTGCTGGGACTTGAGTCTAGTTATAGGTCTAGGAGCATAGAGCAGTGGTGGGGTGGGTTGTGAAGAGAATCAGCATTGTCTTGCTTGGCAGCTGTCTCAGAGGAGGTCATTATTATTTCCTCAGGCAATGCAGGATTAACCCCTCAGACAGAGGTGGAAAGGCCATTACCAACCCCAACAAGGTTGGAGAGGCCACTTCAGCTGGCAGAAACAAATCAGAATGTAGGAGCCAGCCAGGCATGGTCGCTCACCCCTGTAATCCCAGCACTTTGGGAGGCTGAGGTGTGTGGGACTCTTGAGCCTAGAAGTCCATGACCAGCCTGGGCAACATAATGAAACCCTGTCTCTACAAAAAATATAAAAATTAGCCTGACATGGTGGCATGTGCCAATAGTCTCAGCTACTCGGGGGTGCTGAGGTGGGAGGATCACTTGAGGCCAGGAAGTCAGCATTTTAGTGAGCCAAGATCATGCCATTGCACTCCAGCCTGGGCAGCAATGAAACTGTCTCAGAAAAAAAAAAAAAAAAAAAAAAGGAGCTCAAGGTTCAAGGCTCAAAGGCTTCAAGGTCTTCCCGTATATCCTCATTCCAACTTTTAGAATCTTTCTCAATCACTGTGGCCCATTTTACCAGTAGACACAATGAGGCAGAGTTCACCTTTTGTAATTGCACCAATCAAATGATAAAGACTGGTGTTTGATTTTCAGCAGTTTTAGGCTCATGGCTACAGGAGAAGATCCTCCTTCAGGGCACACCTAGAAGCTCTTAGGTTACTTATGTGGAGTTTGAGCCAGGAATTTGAGTGCCTGAAATCATCCTTTTTTTTTTTTAAATAACTTTGCCCAACAACATTAGGAGCAACCAACCAACATTGTTATATTTCTTAGTTTTCCGTAAATATTTAAAAATATTATAGGGCTGGTCATGGTGGCTCATGCCTGTAATCCCAGCACTTTGGGAGGCTAAGGTGGGCGTATCATGAGGTCAAGAGTTCAAGACCAGCCTGGCCAACATGGTGAAACCCTATCTCTGGAAGAATACAAAAATTAACCAGGCATGGTAGTACATGCCTGTAATCTCCACGACTCGGGAGACTGAGGCAGGACAATCGCTTGAACCCAGGAGGCAAGGCTGCAGTGAGCTAAGATCATGCCACTGCACTCCAGCCTAGGCGACAGAGCAAGACTCCTCGGAAGGGGAAAAAAAAGGAGTATTATATACAGAGTCACTAAGTTCCTCACCTCTAAGAAGTGGTTGATTAGGAATATCCAATGCAGACATTTTGCATATCTCTGAACAGTTCATGTCATGGATAATCAGTGCTCTCTGTACTATTGAAAGGAGAGCCAGGCTGGGCACAGTGGCTCATACCTGTAATCCCAATACCTTGGGAAACTGAGGCAGAAGGAGCACTTGAGACCAGAAGTTTGAGACCAGCCTGGGCAGCATAGTGAGACCTCATTGCTACAAGAAAAAAAAAAGTTAATTTGGAGGGCTGAGGCAGGAGGATGGCCTAGGAATTCAAGGCTGCAGTGAGCTATGATGGTGCCACTACACTCCAACCTGGACAAGAGTGAGACCCCATCTCAAAAAATAAAATAGGTAGAGCCTGTAGCACTTTTGAATTTAATCAGACTAGAGAGCCTATTCCAGGAACCCCAAAACCAACTCAGGAAACTCATCCTTAAAATTTCATTCCTCTAGAACGACCTCTGGTACCAAAATCTGTATTAGTCAGCATTCTCTAGAGAGACAAAACCAGTAGAATATTTACAGATGGTCCCTGACTTATGGTTCAACTTGCAATTTTTCAACTTCAGGATGGTGTGAGAGCGATATGCATTCAGTGAAAACTTTACTTTGAATTTTAATCTCTTCACAAGATAGCAATACTCTGCCGTGATTATGGGCAGTGGCAGCAAGACACAGCTCTCAGTCAGCCATGGGATCACAAGTAAACAACTGACACTCTTCAGTGTACTCTGTTCATGAGATATTCAACACCTTATTCTAAAGGAGGCTTTGTATTAGATGATATTGTACAACTGTAGGCTAACGTAAGTGTTCTGAGCACATTTAAGTAGGCTTGGCTAAGCTCTGATGTTGAGTGAAACCGGCGTGTTAAATACATTTTTTAATTGACAATATTTTCAATTTACAATGGGCTTATTGGGATGTAACCCCATTGAAAGTTGATGAATATATATATATATATATATGTGTGTGTGTGTGTGTGTGTGTGTGTGTGTGTGTGTGTGTATGAAGGGGGGGGATGTTTATTAGGAGATTTGGCTTACAGTATTATGGAGGCTGAGAAGGGCCACCATAGGCTGTGTGCGAGGGAAACTAGGGGCATGGCTCAGTCCAAGTCCGAAGGCCTGAGAATCTGGTTGGAATTCAGATATCCAAGAGCAGGAGAAGACGGATGTCCCAGTTCCAGAAGAGAGAGAATATTCACTTTTTCTCTGCCTTTTTGTTTTATCTGGCCCTCAGCCAATTGGATAGCAGCTGCCCACATTGGGTGAAGTAGATCCTGACTCAGTTCACTGATTCCAATACCAATCTCTTCCAGAAACACTGACAGATATCCCAGAAATAAGGCTAACCAGCTCTCCTGGGATCTCTAAATCCAGTCAAGTTGAAACTTAAAATTAACCTTCACAAACATTGTCTTGAGAGCCTGGCAGAATTTTATTGAGGAAATCTATTGAGAAACTGCCATTCCGTCAGTAAATATTTAATGAGCATCTACTGTGTGCCAATGACTGTTTTAGGCACTGACAGGTACTACCAATGTGGAACTCATACTGTAGGTAAGAAAATAAGCAACTAATATATTTTGAATATCAGCTAATCACAATGTAAAGGTGTAAAACATATAGTCCCCACCCTTGAAGAAGTTTAGTCTGCAGAAAATACAAATGGATAAGCAAGTATTTGCAATACCATGTGACTTAGGTTGTTATCATTAAGTAAGCATTATTGCTGAAGATTACAGAGGGAGGCTAAAGAAAGCTACATCAAAAAGCATTGGAGCTGGCTTTGATTAGAGAACTCTCAGACTCATGAAAAGTCTGTTCAAAAGCCTCAAAAGTCAAAGGCATTGTTAGTAAAGCAAGAGCACAGCAAGATGTGATGACAACTCGTTAGAGCCAGCGTTAGAAGTTGCTGGAACAAGGAGGGACAATTTTATCAAAGACCTTATATGGACACATGCAGAAACTAAGTTCGGTTTTTTAAAGAACTAAAAGGGACAACTTTTACCATCCATTATAATTAAATTTCTCTACCCATGTCCTCATCATCATAATCACTAACATGTATTAAGTACCTGTGTGGCAAACATTGTGCTGATGGGATCACAGGCTGAGTCGTTCCTCCTCACCACATCCCTGAGGTAGGTGCTATTTTACCTTCATTTTACAGATGAGAAACATGAGAGGTTCAGAGATTTAAGTGATTTACTCACTTCGCTAGTGAGAAAGATATGGGACTCACTCTAGTCTTTCTGACGCCACAGTCTTTGTTCTTATCCACTGTGCCTGTTAGAAATCACTTAGCTCTATGTAACAAAAAACCTGGAAAACGCTAAAGTTTATTTTCCTCAAATAAGTTCAGAGGAGTTGTTGCCTTGAGGGTGCCATCGGGGACACAGGCTCCTTCTCTTGCTGGGCTCTGTTGTTAACGTGCACTTCTGACCTTGGGCGAACTCATTAAATGCCTGCTCTGTCCCACGGCATCCTGTCTTCATTCCAGGCAAAAAGAAAGGGAGGAGCAAAAGCCAAAAGCCCTTCAGAAGGGCTTACCTTTCTATTTAAGAAGGAAGCCATCCTCAGAAATTCCCACCTGTGTTTCATTGGCCCAATCTATGCTACTTGGCTACCCCTAGTGGCAAATGAGGCTAGGAAATTGAGAAGTCTGTTTTCCAGCTTTGATGAGTAAAAAAAGGGGAAAGTGAGTTGGATATGTGCTGAGTAAACCATTATATACAGTACATATACAACTAGCCTATACAATCACTCTTCTCAATGACACTACAGATAAAGTACATGTTGCTATCCTAACCTAGACGGCTCATGAGATCTAGTCCTTTCTTTTGGGCCTTATATCTCTGTTCTCTTCAGCCAAACTGGATATTTTTTGTTTGTTTGCTTTTTAAAACTTTATTTCAACATAACTATGCTTACAGAAATACACTCATATTGGTTAATAGAATGTATTTTAAGTTTAACTTAGCCTACACAATTTGGACCAAAAACCTGGTACATGGTTTAAGATTTTAAAAAAGGATTTGCAATCTGATTTATTTTTATCTATTACAAGTGTGTAAAAGATCTTCCATCAAATGCTGCTAAGGAAGACAGCAAGGACCTTGAGAAATTTATCTTTGGTTTTGCCTCAGAAAATAACATGTATTACACTGCATACGTTTCTAAAATTGGTGCAACCAAACATTGTTCTGTGTTTCAATGCCAGTTTAGAAAGTTCATTGACTAATGGATATGAAGGAACTGGAAGGGAACCTATGTACACATAGGAAACTGTAAAAGCTATCTGATTTAGTTAATATGGCATGTAGATTGTAAATCTACACAAACCAAGATTCAGATAATTTCTTCAGTCTGAATTAACACATCTGTTCACTTCATCTGCTGAAGTCAACCAGGAAACTGGGAGCATCAGCTGTAAGCTTTTCTGACTTAAGCAAAAAAGAAAATTAACTTTCTCCTCAGCTTTTCAGTCCAGAAGTGACAGTATTCTACAGGCAAGGTATTCCTTCCATTGTCAACATTCATAGGGTGACATGCAATGGGATCTACTTGGGTTTTAATTTTATCAGCACTCATGCAAAACAGTCTCCAAAGTTAATTACCACATGACTTTAGAAGTGACTCTAAAAAATAAAATGATCCTTCTTAAAAGACTAGAGCAAAACAACCAGCCATAGTTATAAGCCTTATACAGAAAAAAAAAAAAAATGCAGCCTCTTGTGAATTACGTAATTAAAAAAAAAAGTAGCCCCAAAATAAGCAGCAGCTCTGAAAAGAGGAAATAATATAGCTTAAAATATCTTGAAAACCAATGTGAATACAGGTTCAAAAGATAGCTAAAAGATTCGTTTTCATAAAACTACCTAAGATTCAGGCTTATAATGTACTCTAGTATTTCAAGTTTATCACTAGTTACTAAATATCAATTTACAAATAACATGTTCATTTTTTGTTCTAACCAAAGGGGAAATTCTAGCTTAAATTCTATCCTGTCGGGGGCGGGGGGGGCTAGAAAATAAAGAAATTCAAACGGTTCCATTCAAATATCACATTTTTCAAATGGAAGAACTTCCAACTGGACCAGAAGTTCATACTGCTAATGTACTTTTCATTGAAACAATTTTTAATAAATACAAATACACAGCATTAAGGTTCAGAACCTAACATAAGCCTGACAATCAAGTCCTTATTTTCTGGAAGAAGGCCTCGAGTCCAATCAATTTCCAGTAACAATGTTTTTACAAATCAATTTAATAATAAGGGGTTTTAATTTCCTTCATGTTTTTGTTTTTAGCATTCTAGTCTTAAAGACTAGATTAGAATTTAGCTCAATTCCCCAGAAGGCAAATGGTTTTTCTTCTGCAGTATGAAAGAATCCACAAAAAACCTCTTCCCCAAACTAATTCCTAATATCCAATCTGTGCTTAGGATGAATCTTTTTCTATACAATGTAAATGGTCACTTAGGTAAAATGTACCCATGAACATTAAAACTAGTCATTAGAAACATTTAACTAGCCTTATAATTTAAGTTTTAAAACATAAATGTTTGCAGCTTGATCTTCTGTTGACAGTGATTGTCGGAGCCTAGAATCCAACATTTACAATGTCCATTCATGCACACAAAACACACACTATTATCACACAACTTACTCCTCATGTCTTCAGAAAAGAATCTTCTGCTTCTTTAAATCTTTGGCCCCAAACAAGGTTTTTTTGCTGTTACTCAACATTCCCTTTTAAGCCTCACCCTGTCATCCAAGTTTCACATTCTCCCCACCCCTAACCCCAGTTTAGTCAGGCTCCTGGCATTCTGCCACTAACTGTGCAGTAGTGTTAGAATAGACTGAGCATGAAAAAATAAAAATCACAACTGTATTTTTAACACAAAGGAATTTTTATTTCTCTCCCTTAAAACATTCCAGGTCAAGTGTCAGAAAGGCTCAAGAATTTCCAGTGACGTGGGTTCCCTCTATTTTGTTGCTCTGCTATCTTTCACACGCAGTTTCCAGCTCATCCAATCTTGTCTACTCTAGCACAGCACATCCTAAGTAAGCTGTAAGGTGCTTTTCCACTTTTCATCTTCTGCTTGGAATTCATAGTTCTACCTGAACTCCACTAGATGGCAGCACAAACATTCATAAAGAGCTCGGATGGCGCCACTAAACTCTGAAAGGGTAACTACAAATCCCAGCATGCATTATTATTAAGCACTTGACTTGCTTCCATACAAAGGTCTCGAGTTTGTTGCTTCCACCGGGTTCTGGAGAACACCGTCACTTCGCAGCTTAAAGTAAGATTTCCTAATGCTTTCGAAATGAAACTTTAGAAAGAGGGGAGGTTTGTTAGATGTTTTGTTCTGTACGTTGCCTATTTCAAAATAAACCTGAGCAGTTAGATCAGTGTAACGATGGGTTTTTAATGAGCTTGAAACTGTCGTATGTATGTCTAATAAAGTAGCCAAAGAAAAGAGGATTCTTATGGTATCCTAAGTGAACATTTTTCTTCCTGGCTCATGAAAACAATGAGTCCCTGAATATGCTCTGTTTGTGTCTCCACTTAGCAAAAATCAACATTTTGATTCCAACTTTTGAACTAAGAAAGCCAACGTGTATGGTTTTCACGTTGGATATATTGAGAGTTGCCTTGTTTTACTATTTCAGGCCATCTTTGCACTCATTTTCTCAAAGAAATATGTTTTAGTTTGAGATTATGCTTTATCAAATGTTAAGGTTTGACCCTAAAATCAGGTCCCAGAAAGACAGGAAGGCCAGCTAAGAGGAGGCTTTTCAAAGTGCGTAGAAAGGCTGCTCTGTGCTTCAACAATTGTTCTGGAAGTGCTTCTTTGGGTGTCAAAGATTTCTAGCAAAACTTTTGACTGGAGGCTTTACAGGGCCATACACCAAATATCACTAATGACAGGGTTGTAAAATAGCTTTTTGTACACCATGCTTAGGATCCAAGGAGGGTAAAGATAAAGTATATCTTTCTAAAGTATATCATTCCATGTTGAAAGCGAAAGTTTATCTTTTGTGGAAGAAAAAGATAAAGCAAAAATTCAGTGTATCAAAATAGGTCAGGCACTGTTAAAGCCCAGCTTTCCCATCGCCTAAAGAATGTGGACAAACTCAGAGGAAGTCAGTGGGTTGTAACGTGATCCCCGGAGCCAGTTCTTACATGATTGTGTTAGTCTGCCCCTCCAAGAAGCCGACTCCAAGATAGAATTAAATGTGTGTGGACTTTATTAGGGGAGATGCTGGTGTGAGAGAGAATGAGGAGAGAACTAGGTGAGGCTGTGAGAGCCATCAGACCTCGATGCAAGTCTACCTGTGAGGGAGGAAGAACAGGAAGACAGGTTGAGTGGAAGCATCCCAGACAGCTGTGCAGTCTAAGAGAGCTTCGGCCCGGTAGTAAGGAGCTTCTCCAGCCAGTCATACGTTGGGGAGGAGCTCTGTGTCTCCCAGAAATGGGGCTGCCTTAGTAACCATGCATGCTCAGGCATTGGCTTGTTACAGCCCCAAGAAGGAGGCCCCAGAACAAGCTCAGAGATGCAGCAACAGTTGCGCCTCATTGTCCATTACTTCCTGGGGTGAGAGCCTCAGTATGTGAGGCACAGGCTTCTGGTGCCACAGTGGGGATTTAGAGAGGCCTGCAGGGCTGTGAGTATCATGAGACAATGCCATGAGATCTTCCCTTAGACCTGCAACAAGAAGGCCTAGGTTTGAATTCATAGCTGTGGAACACTGGGCAAACCATATTTCTTTGCAATTAGTCCCACTGGTGATCAGGCCCTACCTATCTCTTATCTCTGAAATACTTCTCCAATCCACCAATCTCTCCATCCCTGCTCTTTTCTCCAGCCCTGCTATTTTACCCATGCCCCTCTAGATAACCCTAGCACCCTCCTAATGCACCCCCTGCTCCTGCCCAGGTATGTTCTCCACAGTGATCCTTCCAAAATACGAATCTGATTATGTTACACCCTTTCCATAAATCCTTCAGTGGCTGTTGCCTATAGGAGTAACTTGCCCTTCACCATGTGGAACTTGAACCAAGTGTGGAGGTTTGAAATGGAAGAGTATATTCGGTATAAAAAAAAAAGTTTGGCTAAAGAGAAAACTGAGATAGGTTCAAAGAGACAGGACTAGATAATGTAAGCTCTCTAGGCTGGGCTAGCAACCTGTAAAAATTCAGGCAGGTAATGGAGCAGAGTGATTGTGTAGGCTACTTGTGCATGTACTGTAAGTTGGTTATCAACACCATCCAACTCACTTTTCCTTGTTTTCCACTTTATCAAAGCTGGAAACAAAAGTCTCTTCAAAGGTCCTGAAGGAGCTCACTAAATTATTGTTAAAGAAGCATACTCAACTTCCCAACCTCATTGCAGCTTAGAGTGGCCAAGTAGCATAGATCTGGCCAATGAACTGCAGGTGGGAACTTCTGAGAAGGTTTCCTTCTTGTATAGAAAGGCGAGGCCTCTCTGAAAGCCTTTTGGCTTTTGCTCCTCCCTTTCTTTTTGTCTGAAACATGGCCATGATGCCTTAGACAAAGCAGCCACTTTGTGAGTTTGTATGAGGTCAGAGGCACACATTAATGACAGAGCCCAGCAAGAGAAGGAGCCTGAATCCCTGAAGACAGCCTGGTTTGATGGTCATTTGACTCTTCACCCCCAGCCTCACCACTAACCATTCCTCTCACCTTGTGATCTACAATCCAAGCACTGGTGAAATATCTCAGGCACATCACATTGCCCCGTGTCAGTTTTTCTCAATCTTTTAGAAATTACTGATTATGCCTGTTAATGCATTAATAATGTATGCTTAAACTTTAAAAAAGAATTGGCAGCATTGTGGGCTGAACTGTTCCCATATCAAAAGAGTCAGGAAGTCTGTTTAGTTCTGGCTTTCCCATTGACTGGCTCTATGACATTGGGCATGTTTCAGCAGTTTCCTCATCTGCAAAATGGGAGTATTAGATGTGATTTGATCTTTCCATCCTTTTTGTTCAACGAATATCTGAGACCAACTAGGAAATTTTTTCAAGAGAAAAGGAAAGACCATAAGCAATTGATAGTGCAAACCTCAACAAAAGTTTATGGAAGAGAAATCAAGAAGCAGCCCTGAGTAGTAAGGACACAAACAATTCCATAGCACTGTGTGCAGGAGTGGTGGGGAGAATGATGGTGGCAGTGAGTACTCTCAACACCAGAGGCTGTCCTCTCCAGGTACTGAAGGAAGGGTAGGGTAGGCTAAATTCCAGTGTCTGGACCGGGTGAGGTGGCTCATGCCTATAATCCCAGCACTTTGGAAGGCCCAGGTGGGTGGATCGCCTGAGGTCAGGAGTTCGAGTCTGGCCAACATGGTGAAACCCCATCACTACTAAAAATACAGAAATTGGCTGGGCATGGTGGCTGGCACCTGTAGTCCCAGCTACTCAGGAGGCCGAGGCAGGAGACTTGCTTGAACCCGGGAGGCAGAGGCTGCAGTGAGCCGAGATCACACCTTTATACTCCAGCCTGGGGCCTGGGTGCAAAGAGCAAAACTCCGTCTCAAAACAAAACAAAAAAAGTCCACTGTCTCTCATCAGTCACCACTTCAGTGGGTTGTGCTAAATGTGTTTGATATACAACACTAGGTATTAAAATAAGCATTCTGGGAGAATTCAGATGATGCAACTACTTGCACAGAGGTACTGTCTTTAAGTTCCTGAAGGAGCTCACTAAATTATTCTTAAAGGAGCATAATGAACTATTCATTCTAGATGTTACTGCCTGCACAAGACCATGTTCTACAGTATAACCCATTAAACAGACGTATCTTTAGATTAAAACACAGGTTCCGTTATGGGTCGACTTGATGGGAAAGTCATCATCCTGACGGCCGCTGCTCAAGGGATTGGCCAAGCAGCTGCCTTAGTAAGTTGCTACCTTTGTTGTTTGCTTACTAATTATTGATGTATTTAATTATGTGGACTGTTGCCATAGCTGTTTACTTCTGCTCTGCTTTTTTTGTTTTTTACTTTTGTGCTTCTGTTGCCTTAAGTTATAAAAAAAAAAAATTCCCCAGGCAGATGAAGAAATGAATATTTCATGTTTATTACATGACATCACTTATAAATTTTGACTCAGAAATTTCTCTACTTCACTTTCTCTGCTTCATAATAGCATAAATTTTCTACAGAGGGCCAACAGGGTTACATAGCTTTCTGAAGTTAAATCAATTTAGATATATGACTATAGAGTTATAAGACAGATTACCTTTGTCTTTTGATTTATATCAATTTCTGTTACACTGTATATACCACTTGAGTTAACACTGCACCTTAAGTATAATGGTAGCATATGGTTTGACATTTATGAAAGCACTAACATATTCTTAATAGGAAAAATGTTGAAATAATCCATTTTTCTCTTATTATTTGGAGTTTAGAAACTCAAACTCAGAAATGGTATACAGAATGGTATTCATTACAGAAGAGCAGTATTTTGAGAGTATTAAAACAGCTGTCATTTTTTAAAATGTTATTTTGTTTGACATTACTTAAAGGGACTGAGATGACAAACATAACGTATGTCACATTGTTCTAATTAATGATAAAATAACAACAATGGGGGGGGTAAGACTAGATAGTTTGAAATTCTAGCTATCTTATAGGGAAAACAACAACGAAAATAATATAAAGGAGAAAAAGACCACATGATGTTCCATTCATCAGCACAGTTTATTCAAGTAAACAAAGGATTTATTTGTACTTTGTGTCTACTAGGCTTTTGCAAGAGAAGGTGCCAAAGTCATAGCCACAGACATTAATGAGTCCAAACTTCAGGAACTGGAAAAGTACCCAGGTAAGCAACTCAGCAGCTTGGATTTGGGATTCAGTGTCTGCAAGGTATTATAAAGCAATGGTACTCACATGTTCAAAGAAAATTGCTTAGCTATGCAGCTCCACTGGCCTGCTTCTTAGATTCTCACTCTCTGAGATGAAATCTATATTCTGTGAACCTATAGACAAAAATGTGTGTACTTACATGCATAACAAAATTTGAAGACAAATACTTAAAATTATTTATTTATCCAACACATTGAGGAATCCCTTCCTAATTACAAACTTACATGTCAAAATTTACTAGTTATTAGTTTTGATAACTTTTCACTTCTGTGCTCTCCTCCTCCAGGATAGCCCTGTCCAATAGTAACATGATGTGAGCCACATGTGTAATTTTAAAGTTTCTAGTATCCACATTAAAAAGAAACAAGTGAAAATTAATTTAATAGTATATTTTATTTAATCCAGTATATCTAAAATATTATCTCAACATGTACTCAAGATAAGAAAATTAATGGAATATTTTACTTTTTTCTTACTATTTTATTTAAATGATTAGAAGTTTCCTACCAACTTAAATCACTAATTTTCTCTTCTTTGCAGCTTTTCTCTTAATTTTCTATTCTTTGAGATATAATTGAAAAATAAAAATTGCATATATTCAACATGTTCAACATGATATTTTCATATATGTTGTGAAATACCCTGTGAAATGATTAGCACAGTCAAGTTAATTAACATATCTATTACCTCATTTAGTTACCTCTGTGTCTGTGTGCTAAGACTACCTAGGATCTACTCTCTTAGCAAATTTCAAGTATGCATTATTACTAACTATAGTCACTGTGCTGTACATTAAGTCTTATAACTACAAGAGTGTACCCTTTGACCAACATCTCAATATTTTCATACTAAATCTTTAAAATCCATGTGTATTTTACACTTGCAGCACATTTCATTTCAGACTAGCTGTTTTTCAAGAGCTTGATAGCCATATGTGGCTGGTAGCTACCATACTGGACACAGCTCAGCCCTAAAATCACACATCATCATAAGAAACCCTAAGAGATACCCAGATTATTAGGTGTGCACCACCACTTCTTCACCCCACTGAACCAAACTCCAACATCAAACGATTTTAATTATGGTTTGCCCAAAGAAATCAGAACAGAGAACCTATTTGAAAGTTAACCCCTCCAGCAAAATAGAACAGGTTACATAATTAAACAGAAAATAGTTCCTTGAATTAGTTAATTGAATTGGAATATGTTGAATTATAATTCCAACAAGTCAAAGTAAAGAGGCTGCACTGGGAAAGCACAAAGATAAGGAAGTATTTTTGAAATAAAATTTCAGTCTTCCCTTTTTTTTTTTTTTTTTAATTGAGACAGAGGTTCACTCTTGTAGCCGAGGCTGGAGTGCAGTGGCGCAATCTTGGCTCACCGCAACCTCTGCCTCCTGGGCTCAAACGATTCTTCTGCCTCAGCCTCCCGAGTTGTTGGGATTACAGGCATGCACCACCACACCCGGCTAATTTTGGTATTTTTAGTAGAGATGGGGCTTCTCCATGTTGGTCAGGCTGGTCTCAAACTCCCAATCTCAGGTGATCTGCATGCCTCAGCCTCCCAAAGTACTGGGATTACAGGCATGAGCCACCTTACCTGGCTTTCAGTCTTCCCTTTCTTTATTCATCTTTTCTTTCTATATTCCCCCAAAATAAAATAAACCATATACATATTATTTATAGTATATATTATAAATCATAGTATATTATGTGTATTATACATAACACATGTTTATATATTATATGCAAATATATATGTGTAAACTATATATTAACATAATATATTATGCATATACATATTATACATATATAATATACATGTGCATATTAATACATTGTTATAAATTATATATATTATGCACATTATAAATAATGTGTATATATTTATAATCATGACTTTTGTTAGACACTGTTTAGAGTTTCTTAGCAACTAGTACTGTGTGTATCTCTCAATTTCCTGCAATGCCAAATCTCTCATGTCTAGCCTTCAAGTGTGTCATCCATTCTTCTGACCCCCATCATTGCTTCTCCTTGCATTTTACTCCAGAAATACATGTATTTGACTGGATACCTTTGACTAACAGAAAACAAATAATGGAAATGACATAAAGGGGAAGCTCACAAATAGAAACAATCTTTTATTTCACAATCTCTGCTCTTCCCCACCCCTCACTCAGAAAAAAATCAGCATTACTGTAAGGAACCATCAACCCATTCTCTGGCAGGGGAAGGATGGGCTCAAATGAACCCAGTTTTAGTTATTACTGCTGGCTTACTGAGAAACATCTAATGTTCATCAGTCATACTTCACTATAAAGCCATTACTCAGAAAGGACCCTTACTATTCAATATGGAAAATGTACAGAGAGGAAGGAAGAGGGATGGATGGGTTACTGGAGGAGTCAAGATGGGACCTTATGTTTACTAATGAGATTCTGAAGATTCTTAAGACCCTAGTAAGAAGGTCAGCAATCTATGAAGCCTAACTGGATAGATATTGCAGTCTTCACAGTTCACACTTCAAAAGAGCTAAACCTTCAAGGCTAAACACTTTTAGGAATAGTGCCTTTTGTTTTATTTTTCAGGTATTCAAACTCGTGTCCTCGATGTCACAAAGAAGAAACAAATTGATCAGTTTGCAAATGAAATTGAGAGACTTGATGTTCTCTTTAATGTTGCTGGGTAATTCATAACTTTTTAATTTCATTTTCCTTACAGAAACTTTTCTATGACTTTCATTCAAATAATTTTGAAAATATGGCAAAAATCATTTGTTGTAAACCATGACATATTCCTTGGGAAATATGGGTAGATTTTACACAGCATTTTCATGATACATAAGATTCAGCAGGTAAGACAGCCTTAGAGTTTGACATGATTTGGGGCAAATGAAGTCTGCTCAAGACAGCTGGTACTGATACAAAGCTGTAGTTTGTGTTACAATGTATGGAAGTTAAATTAAAGCAATAATTTCTGGTGATCTATTTTATAAATAGTCTGTCCATCCTCATATAAGAATATACTCAGAAACATGAAACCAATCATTAGCAAAGTTAGTTTTTGAGCATCTATTAAATTTTCAGCCATGTAGGGGATGTAGAAATATACCCTGTGGTTCCTGCTGTCATGAAACCGACATTCTGATTGAACTGGCAGAACTGTGGTACATGGAAGTCACAGCCAACAATATTTTATAATTAACTACATAATTTGGGTCCAGAGGACCAAATCAATAAAAGTCTCAGTGTTTAGGAAGCTTCCCTCGGAAAGTATAACTTGAAAAAGAGTGAAGGCTACTTTAACAGTTTGTTTTGTTTTGCCTTAATGTCGCTCAGACAACAAGCGAACATCTCTCAGTCTGTTAACGTTAGGACACTACCAATATCACTTTGCTGCTGAGATGTTGAGACATTTGTTTTCCTTGCAATTTTGATTTCCCTTGAGAATTCTAAATCTGTGCCACCTGAGGGCACTGTTGCTCTTGAAATAGGAATCATAGGAATTAAATAGGCAAATAGGGCAGATGTTTTCTCTCTCTCTCTCTCTCTCTTTTTTTTTTTTTTTTTTTTTTTTTTGAGACAGGGTTTGCCTCTGTCCCCCAGGCTGGAGTGCAGTGGCATGATCATAGCTCACTGCACCCTAGAACTCCTGGGCTCAAGTAATCCTCCTGCCTCAGCCTTCAAGGTAACTGAGACTGCAGGTGTGTGCTACCTTGCCCAGCCCTGTTCTCCTTTATTTGTTGTTTGTTTTTAATAGCATTGATGTTTCCAACACATTTAGTATAAAGCTTCATATGGTTGGTGACCATATCCTTATTTGGAAAAGAAGAAGGATCTTGTTTTCAGATGGCATTTCTAGCTTAAGTTGTTGGGATTCTTACTAATATGATATACTAAGCAATAATATGTTTGAATTGTTTAAAATCTTGATAAGGAAAGAGACAGTGGTCTAAGTCATGAAGTGACAACAGAAGTAATCAGCAAATGGAACAGAAAAATTTTAATGGCAATGATTCCCCCATTGTTTAATCACGCTTCTAGTTTTGTCCATCATGGAACTGTCCTGGATTGTGAGGAGAAAGACTGGGACTTCTCGATGAATCTCAATGTGCGCAGCATGTACCTGATGATCAAGGCATTCCTTCCTAAAGTAAGATCCCCACCACCACCACCAGGCTAAGCACCACATTAGGTATCCATACTGGGCACACAGAAAAGATCCCCACATGTGCTGAAGAGTGATAATAACTAACATAATGATTAACATGCATGGAACATATATATCAAGGCATTTCACATAAATTAACCTATTTAACCTTCCAGCTCATCTACTCAAGGAATATTTATCAAGCACTCTCCACATGCTAGGCTCCATTCTAGGCACAGAGGACACATGAGTGAACTAAATAAAGTGCCTTCTATAAGGCAGGTACCATTATTGGGGGTGTGATGGGACAATTAGTAATCAAATAGACATAGAATATGTGGAGTGGTTGTTAAGTATAATGAAGAGAAAGAAGGTAGGATATCAATGAGGTTCCTCTGGACTCCACTGCAAAGGTGAAATTGTCATAGCAGTCCAAAAGAAGTGAGAGAGCCGATCATTCAGGTGTCATGGGAGAGGATTCCAGGCAGAGGTACCAGCAGGGAGGCACACAGGACTAGAATGATCCTAAGAGGTACTGTTAGCTCATCCATTGTTCACAAGATGAAACTGAGTTTAGGCAACTTGCTCAAGGTCACACAACTAGCATGTGATTAGAACCAAGATCTGAAGCCTAGAAGTTGAGCCCCTTCATGAATTTCCATCTAGGCTCACACTGTCAAGATGGATGTACCCCATTGCTTTTCTCTACCCTGAAGCTTCTCCCTTCAGCTCTTGTTTTGATCTGAACCACAGTGGTAATGGGCAGGTGAGGGACAGTGTGTGCTCAAGAGAGCGTTCCTCCTGCGCCAGCTTCCCTTGAATTCTCAAGCCTTCACACAATGCATCAGTGTTTTAAATTTTATTTTATAAATAAGCATTAAGTACCTCTTGGTATAAATCACTATATAAGGTGTGCTAGGGGAATATAAATATGAGAAACATACATCCCTGACTTCAAATGAGCTT